GTGGACAACACAGATAACCCAGATCATAAACACACAAAGGAAGGATTTTAACAAAATCTCATCCAGTTCTGGTTGGCAGCTACAACAAGGCCTAAGGGAACTTGGTTTCATTCATATATGTATGTGGGGAGGCAGGTGAGGGGTACTCACACACCCAGGCCAGGGGCTGGGAGGAGGGTCTCCTTCAGCCTTTAGCTTCTTGGTAGGACTCATCTCTGTCAGACCTGAGTTTATGATTAAAAGAAACTAATGTGGTGTGGGTATGAGAGAGTGATGAGTGAGCAGTTGAGAGCATGAGCTGTCTAATGTTTTATATCATGTATTAACATCTGAAAACTCTTTAAGCAGTGTTTTAGAAGGATTAAATCTTCTAGCTTTCCAGCTGCATGTTTATACTGGCTGTCCCTCCTTTTCTTTGTTTGTAAGTCAGACTCATTGTGGTTGTGGGTATTTTTAGCCTAACTAGACATCCCAGAAACCATCTGGCCTCTTGGCAGTGGAAATTTTAAACCAATTGCCTTTCAGACAATGCTGCTTTCTCTCCTTTATGACTTCATGATGTGTTTGGAAGTGAGAGCTTCTCTAGATATGCTGGGTCTGTTCTGTAGCAGAGTAGAGTGGAATGTGAGATCAGTATGTTGTGGTAGGAAGAGCACAGGCTTTAGAATCATAGATATTCAGGGTGAAATCTTGGCTTCAACTGTGTAATGTTGGAAAGATCACTTCCCCCAGTTCTTTATAAATTGAGGATGATGATTTGCATCTCATCGGGTTTCTGTATGGATTAAATGAGATACACTATATTTAAAACACTTAGCACAGTGCCTGACAGATAATAGATTCCTAATGAATGTTAAAGTTTTCTTAAAGAAGAGAGAGACATTTCTATACAAACATTCAAATTTATTGAATATATCTACTCTGTGCCAGTCACTGTGTTTGGGTTTGGAGTTACAGAAATGGATGTATACAAAGGTGGAAGGAGCAGTTACATCCCTGTTTTTAGTGAAGGTGTTGTTTGAGCTCTTTCAGTCCTAAGAACAATATCAAGTTTACTGCTCTTGGCTATTCTCAGCCAGAATTTTGAAGCTTCTTAAGGTGACCATATACTACAGTAATAATATCTGTATATTATGTATATTGTTTATACAGTATTTTCAATTCATGACTTTTGTGTTTCTTTGTGTGATTATAACAACACAATGGGGGGATGGCATTATATAGGATCAAAGTTTTTGTATGCTATTGAAACTGAGTTGATCAATTTGAAATACATTGTTGTAAATTAAGGTATTAACTGTAATCCCTAGGGTGGCCACTAAGAAAATAACTTAACCTTATAGAATATTATAATACAGGGTGGGGCAAAAGTAGGTTTTAATAAAAGTAGGTATTAATAAGTACTAATACAAATAAACTGTTTCATGTACTCACAGCTGTAAACCTACTTTTTCTCTACCCTGTACATGTCAGTTATATCTCAGTAAAGCTGGGAAAAAAGAAAAAACATCCAGATTGCAAAGGAAGAAGCAAAACTATCTCTATTTACAGGTGACATGATGTTATTTGTAGGAAATCCTAAAGATTTCATGAAAAAACCATTGGAACTACATAACATAGCAAAGTTGTAGGATGTAAGATCACCACATGAAAATCAGTTGACTTTCTACGTGCTAATAGTGAATGATCTGCAAATATAATTAGGGAAGTGATTCCATTTACAATAGCATCAACAAGAATAGAATAGTTATGAATAAGTGTAACCCAGGAGGTGTAAGACTTAACACTGAAAATGATACAACGTTGTTGAAAGAAATTAAAGAAGACCTAAAGAAAGGGTCTTCTTTATCTGCTGTGCTCATAGATTAGAAATCTTAATATTGTTATGATGGCAATGTATTCCAACTTGTTTTACAGGTTCATTGCAATATCTATTAAAATTCCAGTCTCATTTTTGCGGAAACAAAAAGCTGACACTAAAATTCACGTATGGAATTGTAAAGGATGCCAAATAGCCAAAACAATCTTGAAAAAGAACAGAAGTGGAGAACTCACACTTTTCTGATTTCAAAACTTACTGCAAAGCTACAGTAATCAAAAGAGGGTAGCACTGAAATAAAGGTAGATATATCAATCTTTGGAATAGAATTGAGAGTCCAGAAATAAACTCATACGTCTGTGGTCAGTGGATTTTCAATAAGGATGCCAAGATCACTTGATGGGGGAAAGAAGAGTCCCCTTTACATATGGTGCTGGGACGGCTGGTTATCCACATGCCAAAGAATAAAGTTGGACCCCAACCTCACACCATATACAAAAATTTAAGTCAGATTTGGATCAGATCCCTAAATGTAAGAGCTAAAACTGTAAAACTCTTAGAAGATAACTCTTGGAGAGTTCAGCTGTATAAGTACTGTTCTCCTATAGCACTTTGGTGCTATTATGTAGTGCACTTGAGCGGCTGGATGCTCCTGCAGGTCGAGATTGTCTTTTCACCTATCTGCCTCTAGTGCTTTATACAGAGTTGGTGCTCAGTAAAGTCTGATGACCAAATGAATTGAAGGGACAGTGACAATTTCAGCCGTACTGAGGCTCAAAAAAAGATTTGAGGTGGTCAGAAACTGCTTTGGATGTTTTTGTGGTGTGCTGGAGTGCAAGTGTGGGATTCCTTCCTGGGCCTTTCCTTTTATTATAAATCACATTTAGAGGGTATGTAAAGAGGTTCTCCTCAGCAATAGGTAGTTGTCATTTGCACATCTGATAACTTGGGCATGTAGCCAGGGTCTTTAAATTTGACTCTGTTACTGCTGACAAAATGTCCTCACCGCCAGTTTTTTAAAATTATTTTAAGCTAATTCTTAATTATGGAATGTTTGGACTTGAACGTATGGGTCTAGCCTCCGTTTGTACACCTCTAATGACATGGCACTCAGTACCTCTTAAGGCTATCAGTAAACTGCTCTCACTATTTAAAGTTACGAAGCTCTTTCTTGGGTCGATGAGTGTCTAAATGTCTACTTGTTTCTCCAATGAAATCATGCCAAACAAGTCATATATTTGAAATAATAATACTGTCTCTTTCAGCTCTGTATCCATTCCTCCTGACCCCAAGTATATGTTATTCGCCCCAGCATTTTAATCTGCCATCCCATTTACTTCTGGGTGGCTTACAGCACTGACAGTTTGTGTAAGTTCTGGGAAGGCGAATGAATTTCAATATTCTTCCAGGTAAAATGCAAACCAAGCTGACTTCTAAGCAACTGCCTTTGTAGGGTGATGTTGAAGTTTCCTACCTGTTTCAAAATAGATCTCCTGCGAGTTAGTACAGCTCTCACATTATTTGTTTAGGTTCAGTGTTAAATTTTCTTGGTAAAGTGCAGACATGTAAAGCAGGTTGGCCACCACTTTCTCCTATTAATAACAGCATAGATTAGTTCATCAGACTGATGCCATCTAGCAAGATAATGCCGCCATAAGATATAGGATGAGAGGGTTTTGAATGGAAGGAATAACACAGAAATGCTGGAACCGAAGCCATGGTGTACAGCTAGGACAGGCCTCTGCTACAGATGTAGGCAGAGGAGAGGTACCTGGGAGTGTCCCTTATTACCAGCTTTATAAAATTTCCCTGGCATAGTAAAACTAAATCTTTTGTTACAAGAAAGTAGGTATGATGTATTCCATTCCAAAGCTGTACCAGGGAACAGTTTCTGTTTGGGATCACCTGCATGGCTGTGCGTCCACCTTGACTTCTGGTTTTCCAACCCTGCTCTCACTCCATCCCAGGTAATTGATAACTCCCTCTGTTGCCAGTCTGTCTTTTAGGCACAGTTTTTTGTTGTACCATTTTATTGTATTGTATTGAATTACTTATTTGTGTGCCTCACTAGACTCTGATTCCTTGAAGACCTAGGCTAGATCTTGTTCTTTGTATTTTCAGTGCCTAGATAGTGCTCATCAGTGAGTAGCATATAGAAAGGGTACGATAAATGCTTGTTGAGTAGAGTTGTAGCACAGATATATATCAGTTGCAAACTTTTGTAAAAGCAATATTCTCACCAGACATGTGTTAGGCAAGACTTGAAGAGTAGAGAACAAAGATGAGTAATAAGAAAATCAAGAATTCCTACTGATAGTCTATGGGGTAGGTGACAGTCATCACACGCAATTCTTACACAGTAAGATTGATATTATAATACAGGCACTGTGAGTTTTGATTTGGGTTGTAAAGTAATAATGTGATACATGCATAAGAAAAATAAATCATGTGTTTGTGAAGTCTCTTACATCACGAGGATTCAGGCCTTTGGAAGCTCAACTGTAATGGATTAAGAGAGAGACTACATTTAATTTTGACTCCCTAATAAAAATCTAGTGCTCTGTTGTGCATTTTGTAGGTACTTAGTATTTGTTTCATGGCTGGATCAGATTGTGGAGACGTTTGAAGGGAAAAAAAATCTGCTGTTGCCCTGGCTGGGTGGGTCAGTTGGTTGGAACATCATCCCGTACTCCAAGAGATGGGTTCAGTTCTTGGTGGAGGGCACATACCGGAAGCAGCTGATTGATGTTTATCTCTCACATCGATGTTTCTTTCTCTCCCTTCCTCTCTCTCTGAAATCAATAAAAATATCCTCAGGTGAGGATAAAAAAAAAATCTGTTGTTTGCAAAGGTGACTGAAAACCCTGTTAAGGAAGGTGAAGTATCCCTATATCTCTCAAAAGCAGGAGCAAAACCGTCATTGGTCTTGTGTCAATTAAGCAGGTCTGGTTTGGAAACAAAGGCTTAAACCAATTGTCCTCTCTGGAGAACTCTTTCTCTTTTGATAGGATTTGTTCTTAGAATGTGTTTTGTTAATAAAATACCTCATTTTCTACTGTTGCCCAAGGGAATTGTTTTAATGGGTGGCTTTGAAAGCACGGAAGAGATTTTTATTTCTGTTTTCTTCGCTAGCCTTATTGGCTGTTCTTCACGATTTGTTCTGTTATTTATTCTTTTTTAGGAACCTAAAGGTGGAAAGGAGTCAGAGCTGCAGTGACACCGCCCAGGACAAAACAAAGAGCAGACTCCGAGCAGCTGCAGCCAGCAAGGCCAAGGTACACCTCCGACCCAGGCCTCTGGGGCGTTCGAGTTCCGTCCCGTAGCCTCCTGCCGTGGCCGCGAGAGAAACCTTCGCTGAGAAGAGGCAGAATGGGCTCTGGGCATACTAACCATGTTGGAGAATGTTAGAAATAGGCGTGAAGGAAGGGTTAGGAGAATAATGTTTTTAAAAGTTCTAGGTGACCTTTTTTCTATAGATTTTCAATGTTATTAATTGTTTCAAGTTTGTATGAATTTCTGTAAATAGTGTACACTCTAGGTTAGGGAATTTCCCTATTTTCTTAGGCTCAGGTCATTCTTTATCCTTTTATGCCCTTTCTCTCCTTATCCTTCTACCATTGTGAAGGAAATACGAGGCATGTATGTATGTATGTATAATCTTTTTTATCTCTTTCAGGTCACAACTGTAACCCCAACCACCAACCCTGTCATTGGTGTTCTCCTGTCCACACAGAACAACCGCTGCCTCTCCGCCCCTGACTTGACCGTTGAAAAGCGTCTGCCCTTCAGCTCCCTCTCATCCTTGGCTTCCCTGCATAAGCCAGAGCGCTCCATCAGCCCTGAGAGCAATGACAGCATCTCCGAAGAACTCAACCATTTCAAGCCCATTGTCTGCTCACCGTGTACTCCTCCCAAGAGACTCCCTGATGGCCGCGTGCTAAGTCCCCTCATCATCAAATCGACACCCCGCAACCTAAACAGAAGCCTGCAGAAGCAAACCTCTTACGAGGCCAGTCCACGGATCCTCAAAAAATGGGAACAGATCTTTCAGGAGCGGCAGATCAAAAAAACCCTCTCGAAAGCCACCCTTACCTCCATGGCTCCAGAAACAGGGGAAGACTTGCTAGTCTCTGACGTTATCCATTCTAGCAAAGAGAAGCCACTTCTGACTTTAAATACAAGACTGTCCAGTGAACATGCTTTCTCTGAGTATCCTGGACCCACCCCTTCAGACCTGGACTGTTCCCCCTCTGTTAGCCAAACAAAGGCAGAACAGGGCAGTGACAGTAAAAGGAACACTGAGATCCCATTGGAAACCTGCTGTTCTTCAGAACTTAGAGTGGGAGCCAGTGGGACTTCTTTGGAGAGAGAGCAGTTTGAAGGATCAGGGTCAACCCCAGATGCCAAGTCAGACAAAGCTGGTATAAGCACAGCCGTGAACATCTCGGCAGTTAATTCAGTGCTACCCAAAAACAGTGTTTTGGGCGGGGTCTTCAAAACAAAGAAACAGCTGAAGACAGTGAATCATTTTGATCTGCCTAACGGTGTTCTGGCAGACAACGTAGGTGAGGAGCCACTTCCTTCCTTGCGTCGGGGCCGGAAAAGACACTGTAAGACGAAGCACTTGGAACAAAATGGATCCCTGAAGAAAATGAGACAAAGCAGTGGTGAGGTGGGTCTGGCCCCAACTGACCCAGTCCTGCGAGAGATGGAGCAGAAATTGCAGCAAGAGGAAGAGGACCGACAGCTGGCTCTGCAGTTGCAGCGCATGTTTGACAATGAGAGACGGACTGTGAGTCGGCGAAAAGGAACCGTGGACCAGTATCTCTTACGATCCAGCAACATGGCCGGGGCCAAGTAGCGCCTCACGAACAGCGTTACCTATTTTTAAGAGGTCTTTGGACTTGATCATTTATCCTCAAGAACAGTGTGTTCTCACTTTGGGTTTCTTTTAATGGCAAAAACACTGTGGGTTCTGAGAGGTTCCAGGGCCTTTGTAGTCTATATCCAAGGAAACTGCATCTTTGCCTCCCTGTGACCCAGGCCGGAAGCACTGCCCACCCCCACCCCCCCTCAGTGACCCATGCCTGAGAGCTTCTGGGCCAAATCTGGCAGCACCCACTTGGAATGAGATTCAGGAGCACAATGGCCAGAGATAGAAATGGCGGAGGAAAGAGGGATACCTTCTCAAACTGATAGACCTCCTGACTTCTTTTATCAGGGTGTATTTTTAAATCAGCTTTGCAGATAAAAATAAGTTCCATGTTTTTCAAGGAAGTGGAACAGTATAGCTCCTGGGCAGATCCAAAAAGATTCTGTTAGCCCTTCTCCTGACCCCTGTCGCAAGTAAATATTTCTAATGAAATCAGTTGAGTTTATGCTTCTACAAAAGCTAATTCACATTCCTTGTTTAAAAAAATAACATTTGATTACTGCTCTATGTAGTCGACAGACCATTTCACAGTCATTGTTTAACTTGGTCTTACAGGAGACCTAACACGTAAGTGGGATTGACCCCATTTTTTAGATGATGAAACTGCAGTGCAGGTGTTCTGAGTTCCCTCAACTAAGTGGCCTGGCCCAGACGGACCGCTGGGTCTCCTGACCACAAATCCCATGGATTTCCCACACTAACAGGTTGCCGTAATGGACTGCAACCCAAGGTCATGCCAGGGGAGCCTAGGGAAAGCTGGCTAGGCCTTGAGTACCCATTGTGCAAAATCCACATGCAGACAATTGAGATGGACTAGAACTATACACAGATACTGTACAGTTAACCCCACCCCCACAGTTTACAGTCTTCTTTTTTCCAGTGTTCCACCCTGTGAGATAAAGGACAGTTGGATGTCATTACTCTCCACATGGCCAAAGGTTATCTGCAGTGTTGATCTAAAGTCCAAAAAGTTTGCCCAGAAGTCAGGCAAGAAAAATGCTGAAACTCCATACTATGGAAACAAGGTATCTAGCTGGATGCAGCTGGTAAATTCAGTCCCATGGACCTTTGGGATTTATTTTCCTTAACAGCTGACACCATGTGTCTTTTGCATCCCTGGTGGTGCTTGGTGCTTCTCTGCCCATCTGGGCTCATTGAGAATAGGATTTAAGATGGGATTTTAGGGAATCTCAAACGGGCTGGCATTCCCTGTGCATGTATGAGCTGTTACTATAAAGTCATGTGACTGGCACTTAACAAACCTTTCAGAACTTCTAGATCCCAATGTATGTTGTCCCCCTCGAGTGGCCCCAGAAGGGTACTGCATAGTTTTCCCAATGTCGTTGCCATTGGTGAAAACACTTCTGGGATTGTCCTTCAAGTCTAGAAACATCTGGAAACATAGCCTCCTAAAATGTTAGAACTGGAAGGGACCTTAATGGCCATCTATTTCAACTTCTTCCTCTTACTCAGGCAGAAGCAAAGATCTAGAGCAGTGACTCTCTGATCAAGGTCCCTAGGGATTTACTATATCACCTTATTTTGCTCCTCAGAAGATTTGCCTCCCTTCTCTGAGCAAATCTTTATACTCATTTGGAGTGATGGGAGAGAGAATGTTAAGTTTGGAACCAGTCAGAAGCTATTTGAAGCCTCTGGAAGAAAAGTGGATTAACAAGAGGGTTTGGAGTCATAAACGAGGTGCAGCTGTAAAGTAGAGCCATTTTCTTGGGCAGCTCATCAACAGTTCCCAGAAAGAAGTTCAGAGATGTCTTAAGCATTTTGATGATCAGTGAGATATGTGGAACCTCAATGACTACTTTGGTGGGAAGTATCACTCACCCGAATGTATGTGTTCTGTGTTCCCTGTGTCTGTGCGTGCACACGTGCAGATGTATGTTTAGAAAACATACATTGGTCTCATTCCTTTGTATTCACACCACTTCATTTCTATATCCTACCAGCAACACATGCCCTCCACAGGCTGCTGGTACCTTGAAGGTATTGGTACCCAAGATAGAAAAGCTGGCACTGGTCTGCAGAAGACAGAGAGGGTGACTTACCAAAGGCCCTTAGAGAAAACACCAGTTACTGCCATTTCAGATAGTTCCTTTTTGATCTTAGTAAACGTCACGGGGAGGCTAGTCTCATTGGTAGGAGCAAAGACACTTATTTTTCCACTTGCCACCTTTTTCTATATCTCCAGTAATTCGAAGAATACTTTTAAGTTGGAACTGATTTTTGTTTTTGGAAAAAAGATAAATATTTTAATAGAAAAAGATATATATTTTAAATATTTCCCCAGAGTAATAAGAAATTACTTAGTAGAAACAACACGTTTTAGCTTCTGATCTGGAGTGGAAAGCTACTTCCTGTTAAGCGAATATTCCGAACTCTGAATCGAGCTTACTTTTCCCTTGGCCCTGCTGTGGCGCATGCAGTGGTATCAACAGCTGTTTCCCACACTCCAGCTGAGCAGTAGTCCTTCAAACGTAGGCAAAGCGGTTTAGGTTAAGGAGGGAGGGGGCTTAATCTTTAATCTGCTTGACTTTGGAAGAGGCAAAACCACTAAGGTATTTTCTGTATTTTAAGATGTTTCCCATACTTAATAACTAAAACGCGAACACTTTTTCTTTCTGAAAAGTTTCCCTCTCGTTGCTTGATTGTAAAGTTGGTCACAAATGGAATTCTTGACATGAGTTCTTTAGAGGAAAAAAGGGAGAAAGACAAGGTAGGAAAATTGATGGAGAGGGTTTCTCAGCTAGAATATGAGATATACACTATTTCACAAAGCAAACATTTCTCATAAATCATTGGTATCTGATTCACCAAACAAATTTCTCATGTCCTACTAACTATGTTCCTTCTGTATAAGCATTTTGTTTTTGTTTTTGTTATTCAAGGGGAAGTTGTGAGAGACTGGAGGATGGAGGTCATTCTGATGGGGAAATCTAAGAAATGTGGTTGCCCTGAGAAGGGGCCTCTCACACCATTTCCAAAGAGGGAGCAAGGCACTTTGGGAATGTGTTCATGACTGTTGATTGTTATCAGTTGGAAGAAGTCACCTGGGTCTGTTTGTTTGGTGTCCGATCTTGGGAGTATGTGTCCAGCCCCCAACCCCTTTCATGTAATTGCTTCCTTTTTAAAAGATTAATAATTCTTGGCTGAGGTTTCTCAGGAAAACCTTTTGTGAGTGGCTTCATTTATTTTTTTAAATTTAATTTAAAAATTTTTGCCCGGGGGGAGCACTGGTGATGAATGCTTTTTCTCTGTTTTTTGTTGTTGTTGTTGTTCACTTTTCCTAAAAGAAAAATGCCCTTAAGAGATCAAAGCTGCTTAATTAATTGCTGTATGATGACAAACTGACAAACTGACTAAAATGGGAAGCTGCCACTGTGCTTGACTGGTGAAGCTGACGACCGAAGGCTGTGCTGTTCATCCTTTCTGTTCCGTTTGACAGACATTTCCTGAGCTTCGAACTTGTGCCAACTTTGTGCTGGGTCGTGGATTTACAGAGACGGAAAGGACAGTTTCTGCTCCGTGGAGCTCAATGTCTAATGGAATATATTTGAATGTATATGTGGCTGGAGAGTTTGTTAATGGTATTATGAAAGGCCACTTCTTTCATAACGAAGATTTTGGATGGTCCTGTTCAAGGTACTGTCCAGCACCAGGCAGGCTGCCTTGAACATTTTAAATATGCCCATCAGTATTTGTGAATTTGATTGCAACACTGCTTTCCATTTCCTAAGTAATTTTACCAGAGGAGAATGCATTTTACCCTCCAGTGATTTTAGGACAATAAGGTCCCTTCAGAAGCTGCTCTTAGTATAAGCCCCAAGAAGTGAGGCAGGCTGTGGATCACTGATGCCGTCAGAGGCCCACATCTCCACCTAGGACCCTCCCAACGTCTCAGTCAGACCTCTCTACTGGGGCTGGCAGCAACTGGCATTTCTTTCCTTTTTCCTGCCTGGCTTTTCACTGAGATGGAAGGCCAGCAGGAGGAAGGAGAGAAAAATTAAAGGCTGGATCCTAATCATAAAATATGTAGCTGGAATGGGCATGGAAATCATCCAAGTCAAACTCTCCCCCTTCCACCTTCCTTTTTTTAAGAAGTTAGGAACTTGATGTCCACTATCCTGTGCCCTATTTTATATTACAATTTTCTAGGGTCTGAATAGTCACTTAAGTTACACACACACACACACACACACTCACAATTTGATAATGAGGGGGACATCCAAATGATTTAGGAGACTGTTTTAATAGCTTTTCTACCTGATATTTTCAGTTAGAATTAAAATACACCTATATCACTGAATATACATGCAGGTAAGGAAAACCCCCGTGGTGGGAGTAATGTGGATATGGGATCTTGAGAAATGTTATATTTTTATTGGAACAGTCATTTTAACTACCAGGGGTTAAAACCCAGCCAACCCTTCATGTTTCTTTGAAAATCAAGAACTTAGGGACTCAAATCTTTCTCAGCCAGCCTTTTCCTTCAATCCACAGAGTGGTCTTTTGGCCTGGTTTTTAGAATTGAGTATTATATAGCTGCTTATAAATTCTTGGGACTCCATGAGGAAGCAGGTCTGCTCTTTGGAGTGTGGGAGGGCAGTGGGGTTCTAGGCAAAGAGGCTGCTGAATAGATTTTCCTCCAAAGAGAATCTAGAAATGGATCTTTACCCATGGTTATTAATCACTGTAATTTTCTGAAGAAGATTGCGCTACAGAAAAAGATACTTTGAGATATATATAGAAATCACCAGTTTAGAGATTGGTTAAATTGGATGAAGGAAAAGTGCCAAGACTGTATGTGCACATTGTTCTATGTATTACCAGTATTTTTTTCTTCCTAAGAAAAATATTTACACACTTTGTGAGTAAATTCTTCCTTAATGTCTCGTCAGTAAGTGTGGGAGACAACCTCAAACTTGTGCAGGCTCCCTCTCTCTGTTTTCTGGTGTCTTAAATCAAGACCTTGTTTGACAAAGCCAAGGTGAGGCCAAGCTTGCTTATTTTCCTTTCCTCTAATAAGGGGTAAAAAACAGGCAACGCGCTCCTTGAAGATTAAGCTGTGAAGAGCTCCAGGGTGGCTTTCGGGCCCTAGCCGCCCAAAGGCAGCCGTCACATTGTCCCTGTTGCCCTGCGCAGGCTCCAGGCTGTGCCACCAACGGGAGCAGGGGCTCTGCCTCGGTGAGGTCAGCCCTTAGCCTCCAGCCGAACACTCAAAAGTCCTAAGGAGAGAATGGGTAACTGTGAGAGGGGAAAAAATGGTTATTATAAATGCCAACTTTTTTTTAGCACTTGATGTGGTTTACTCTCAATTTTTATACATAGTTGTCATTAGGGCCTTTCCCCCGCCCACCTAGAAATATAAAGTGGATTGTATATTGGTTTTATTCAGCCTGCTGTGTGCATTAAAGTTGGAGAAGGGGCCTAGCTGCTTGCGGACTGCTGCCGCCGGCCACCTCTCCCACTCAAAGAACATTTTGACAATGACACAGGGCTTAGGGCATGCCCTTCTGGGGATGCTTGTGCCAACAAGGAAATGGCATGAAATCAAATGGGATGATTGTTATTTGTTTAAACAGTACCGAAGTGAATTCTTCAGTGATGTTTACCTGCTTGAGGAGAGGCGCGAGTTGAGAGTATGTAGTAAAGCAAACTCATGAAAGTGAATGATCTGTTTCTAGTCAAAACTCATATCTAGGGTGCAGTCTCAGGGAAATCTGGGCAAAAATTAGACTGTATGTTTGAATTTTGATGCTCTCTTTGCTCCGGGAGGTGCCCCACGTTGGAATGCCTTGCTTTGGCGTTCAGAGTGATGGGAGAAATTAGGCAGGAGGGGGTTTCTGTGGTGTACAGCTACATCTTCAGAGCTCCAAGTCATTTCCAGTTTACATCTTGCATTCTCACAGTCAGCCATTCTAATAAATGCACCAAGACAGAGTTTGAGTAAAGAACAAACGTACAGGGCGACATTGCCCTCGCACATTAGGCCTGTACTTGGAACATCTCATTTTTTTAAATACCCTCTTGGAACCATCACTCAGGAACTCATCAAAACACCCCTGCTGTAAGGTTTTCACCCACCAGAGAACAAACGTATCCCTCTTTCTTATAAACTTGTAAAAACAATTTGAAGAAGTGATGTAAGAGTCTGTGCCACACATGGTAAGCCAGCACTAGAAGGACCTTTGAAATCATCCGGCCCAACCGCTTCCAAAGAGTGTTGTTAAAATGATTTGCGAGGAGCAGTGCAGTTAGCTGGAGATGTGAGGACAGCACTTGATCGTCCCTTGGCTCCTAAAGTAACAGAAAATGCTCTGCATCCACACTCGTCAATCACCTTATAGCCTGGTGCTGTGAGAAGGGTGGCCCTCATTTACAGGCGGGCAACCGGCCCAGAGCTAGTCTGGAAGCTGGGGCCTCTACCTCCAAAGTCACTGATTGCGCTTTCTGCTGCCCTGGATCAAGACCTTAGGGAGGTGCCATCCTCCTTCACTGGCCTTGGCTAACAGTATCGTTGCAGTTGCTCACTGGGTCATCTTTCCTCCTGGACTGGACCTTGTGGGGCTAGAGAGATGACCCTCCCCTCTGCCCACTACGGGGGTGGGAGGTACCCTGAGGCAGGAAGTACTGTGAGGCACAATCTGCATCTAAATCAGCTTTCTCTGCTGTGGCCACAATCAACTCTCCTGGGTGCTCACTGGCACCTCGGATAAGTGATTAGGAAAACAGATGGGCCTACCTAATTTTGAAGAATTTGGTGGGAGAAACTATTCTGGTTCGCTCGTTAGAAGATTGGAAAAGGCTCAGAAGACTGGCAGCAAGCTTCCCATCTGCTTGAGGTGGGCAGGGGGGGAGGCTGTGGGTGAGAGTGAGCCTAGCGGGAGGCAGCACCTCACGGATCAGATGAGCTGGGGAGAGCGACCGCGCTGACAATAGGGAGGGTGACCACCACCCAAAAGCCCTTCTTCATTGGCCACAAACACCGGTTCATTGAACAAATGTAGTCTGAGGCTTTACTCACTGAGATAAGGACTAGGTCATATCTCTTCAAACACAAAACTGAAGTTGCTCAATGAAGAACCTTCCCTCAAAAGTGCTTTTCACACCCCGAGGACCCATAGAGATTGAAAACCCCATTGCTGCTATGGGTAAGGTTAAATGAGCTGCCCTATATCATACAGCACAGAAGGTTAATTATTGAACCTGGTAATATGACTGAGTCTGGATTATTCCAGAGATAGTAAAAGAGTTGGACACAAGTGGTAAATGATCATATGATTTCCAGAGATGCAGCAATTCACTGTGTGGGAGGGCAGGTTAATAGTCTGATACCCTGCCTTAAAATAGGCAGGTTGGAGCACTGTGTTTTCTTGGTAGAAACATGGTCCTTTTAAGGGGAGTCCTGAGGCAGTGCCTGTGGGAATGTGCCCAGCACTGGCTTCGAGCATTTTAGCCATAGCTGCGTGTAACCCTGTTAAGATAGCCAGCCTGAGCTATTTCCCATTTCACCCACAAATTCAATCTTATTGAGTATTTCCTGGATTCAGGCCCTACACTGAGCACCGGAGCTACAGTGCAGTGTGATGCCCAATGAGGTCATAGTAGGCCACAAAAAAGGAGAGACCAGTTCAGTTTGGGAGGAGAGTTCAAGGACATACTTGAGCTGAGGCTGAAAGGATGAATAGGGAATATTAGCTCTCACATGGTCTTACCTAGTTCTCTCCCCAGATGAATAGCAGAGTCACGGTATAGCTTCCTAGTGCTTCCTTCCTGGAAGTTCCACATTGACGTGACTTGGTTGCACATGAGGGAAAAGGGACCAACACTCTACACTCATTCTGTAAGCAGCTAATAACCTAATAAAACAGCTAATAATGCAGAATGATCCTTGCAGCCTGCGACTCTGGGCTAATGAAGAAATGTAAAAAAATCCTGCATCAGAAATTCAAAGGTCAATTTTAAGAGAAAAGCAGTTCTGATATTAGTAGCCTGTGGATAAAGGCTTCATAAAAGCCAAAATGGTAATGCCATTGGTTTTAAGAGTATTAAAATATCTTACCCAGAGAAGGGAGTGGGCAACACTGCTGAAGGATTGCATCTAGCTATCACAAGTAGGGGAAAACCCCCGAACTTAGTCTAAGGGAGACAATCTATGTGAAATAACTGAGCATGCTGAGTGCTTGGCCTGGATAAATGCAGCCTTTTCAGGATGTTTTCACATTGGTGAGGGGTTGGCCAGGCTGGGCAGAGAGCAGATATACTTTTGGTCAAAAAGCAGAGAGAGGACAACTGAGGGACTTAGGTAGACAGCCCAATGGCTAGACCTGTCCTATAGTTTTCCCAACAGAGGGGACGCCCTTTGAGAGGAATGAACTCCCTGTCTCTACATGTGCAAGCAGGAGCTGGATAAGCTGTTGTCATGTTTACAAAAGGCTTCCTGCCTTCGGGTTGGGATAGGACGTTCCCAGGAACCTTTCAGACCTGAAAGCCTAGAGTTGGGTGGTGTTTCTGGCTGAAGGGAGACGTCCAGTTCTCCAGAACTGGAACGTAGCAAGGTTTAGTGTGAATGATGGGGTGGATTCTCCCTCCTGACATTAGAAGGGTGGTTTTGGGGTCCAGGAGATCCAAGGTGGTGGGCCAGCAACATGCCTGTACCTCTCCAGGTGTCCGTGTGAATGAGTGAGATATGGATGACTATCACTTGGTATGTGTGACTGTATAAATGAGACTGTGTCTGGTATGGTAAATATTTAACCGGTCACACGTGTGAGACAGGTTGAGTATGATGGTATGCAAATAATCTGTGTCCTAATAGAATCTAGCATATACTCCATGCTTCTCCTAGCAGGTCAGTGGCTACAAGACTGTATTTCTATAATCGCCATAAATACAACTTAGGTTGTAGAAGTTTGGGTCTTGCTGAGGGTCTTCAATTCTTGTGCCACTCACTGTTTCCTGGTTCCTGGGAACTGCAGGCACCTTCCAGGAGGGTAGCCTTAGGAGCAAGGGTTGCCCGGGTGACTAGGTCACACCCAGTATCTGTCCCCAGATGCACATCTCGGGAAGTCAGCCCCAGTGGCCCTGTCCATATCCTCCCCTGTAGCAGGTGCTGACTACTGGGCATGCACAAGAATGGACAACCCCACAGGCTGCCTTGGCCAGACGAATTACTTCGCGACCCAGGTTGACCTTGCACAGCCCCAAGGCTCATTTAGAGCCACAGCCCACCATGTTTGCGTATGGGATTTCAGTTTGTGTCCTGGATTAGAGTACCTGGGGAAACTGCATGGAAGCCCTCTCTCTCCTCAGCTAATCCCAACTTTGTGGCCATGGTTATCTGACAAGGGAATTCCCAATCCTCTCTTTTCCCTAGTCTACATTTACCCTCACAACAGAAAAAGCTGCCCGAGAGAAAAAGCACCATTTCTGGGCCTTGGTGGCCTCCATTTGCCACCCCCTCCCAACATACACACACTTCATTGGCTGTAGGAGAGTTATTATCTGAGCCTTAGATTCTGTGCGGCTTCTCTGTTCCATCAAGCCTATTTTCTATTCTAGAGTCAACACAGCCCTGCTGGACAGGTATGACTCAGACAGGTTTCCCACAGGACTCTAGGGATACGGCTCAAGCTGCGGACATTGCCCCAGTGTGGCAGCCTGGCACAGGCTCCAAGAAAGAACGTGGACCACCCTGCGCTGTGCACCCGCTCTTTATTGCTGCTGGGCCAGGCGCCGGGTCCCGCCCGGCATGGGAAGGGGAGGTCCTGACGAGCTCCCCACTCTGCGGCCAGCCAGCGAGGCTGAGCTGAGCTCTGAGACCCGCACCCAGCCGTACCCACCCGAGTGAGTCGGCCAGAGGCTCAGTCAAGGGTGCGGAGCGCCCAGGGCGGGTGTGGGGCTCAGGCCGGGCGCGCCGATGGCCCTGTGTGCAGCTCTAGCTTTTTGAGTCACTGGCCGTGGGCTCCTGGCAGAACTCGTCCATGAACTGGAGGAAGCGGCCGAACTGAGGCTGGCCCTCGCTCAGGGCCGGGTGGGTCGCGGGCGGCGCTGGGGTCCTGAACACCTTCTGCAGCGAGCACCGCACCAGCTCCCGGTAGCGCGCTCGGAACTCCTTCAGCAGGCGCTTGGCTTCCAGGTACTGCTGCTGGTTCACCAGCCGCCGCTCGGTGCGCCGGCGCAGCACAGCCCCTGCGGGGAGAGGGGCCGGGAGGGCAGCGGGCTCGCTCAGGGCCTCACCGGCCCAAGGCGGTGGGGGGCTGGGTCTAGAGCCCCGCAGAAAATGGGATGGGGTGAGGAGGGCGTTCAGGGGCATCAGGAAGCCAGCAGTGCCCCCTCCTGACTCTATCCCAAGCCTCGGTTCCAGTCGGTAACACGTGGTGTGACTTCAGGCAACTCCCTGCCTCACTCAGGCCTCAGTTTCTCATCCGGACATGGGAAGGGTTGGGGCAGATGCTCCTAAAGGCCCTTCCTGCTCTGACACAAGCCCTTTGCCCTGTTCCAGCAGAAGCGGAAACTGCTACATCTCGGGTTCTGACAGCTGAGGAGCGGGCACCGGGGTGTTGGGGCCAGAGCCATACCTAGTGGGGCCTCTGTAACGTTCCGGGGGTCCCGCATGCGAATGAGGATGTCATCCAGCAGCTGGGCTCGAGTCTTCCGTGGGGGCGGAGCAGGGATCCTCTGGGCCTGACGGGAAGGAGGCGAGAGAGGAGGGTGTTTCCCAGGCTCACGCTCAGACTCTGCTGGCCTGGCCTCCCCACAGTCACAGCCACAGGCAGGGAGGCAACTGGGGGCTCTGGGAAAGCACGGCCTCCGAAGGCCGGGAGGTGACAGCTGCCTCTGTCCCTGTGCGGGTCCTCAGGGGTATCTGTATACTCAGCGAGGTGCAGGTTTACCCGTTTCTCCTTGGGAACATAGTGTTTCTGAAGAGTGTCCCGCTTGGGCTTGGAGGAGCAGTACAGGACCGGGTGCTTGAGCATGTGCCGCAGCGCCTGCGCGTTCTTCTGGATTCCTAGGGCAGGAAGGCGAGGGGGAGTCCCGGCACCTCCCCCTCCCCCTCCTAGATGCCACTCCCAATTCCTTCATTCCCCACAGAAGAGCGGCCCTGGGTAAAAGGATGAGAAGCCCCCATCTCTGCCCGGTCTGCTGCAGTGTCAGAAGTTCCATCATTGATTCAGTGAACACCAGGGCCCTATAAGCAAAGATCCCAATAGGAAAAGAGCGCTGGGGTCGGGGGAGGGCCTGAGCCCCGAGTAACTCCGTTAGCCTCAGGGGTTACACTGCGGGGACTGACTCCCGAGAGAGCAGGCTGAGCGCCAGTTCCCTTGAGAGAACCGACACTGTTAACCTATCAGTCTGAAGCAAGGGACTTGCAGAGGAGAGGGCACGGCTTCCCTTGCCTCAAACCAAATAGGGAGGATTTTGGATGTTTGTTTTGGGGCTTAACTGAGAATCTGGCCAGTCTGGGCCTTTGTTCCTGGAGAGACTTTTCCAGCCAGAACGAGGCCCGGACTGGCGGGATTCTCTGCACAGCTGTGACTCCCCAGAGCCAATGAAGGCCCCGGCCAGGGGTCCTGACATGCAAGGCTCCAAACCAGGACACCCTCAGGGGCCCTTTGACAGACGTTCAGAGAGAAGATAGCAGTCTGGTCTGGGAAAGGGCCTTAGCACCAGCACTGGCTTTGCCCTGCCTTGGTCTGAGCTGCAGGGAGGGCCCCTGCCTTGGCTGCGTTCTCCTCACACACCTTTTGGCTCAGTGAAGGCGGGATCAGGCTTGGCTGTCAGCAGCTCCTCATAGCCAAGGTACCTGCTGGAGACTGAGGCAGGTGGAAGCTTCCTCCGAGGCTTCTTCGCATCTCTGGGTGCTGGAGGTGGTGGCGGCGGTGGTCTTTGGTCTTTCTCCACCTCTGAATCGTCCCTCTGGAGGATGGAGTAAGGCAGCCCACTCACCTGTCCCCAGGAAGAAAAACACATTCGTTCAGTCCACTCACACTTCTGATCATCAGCTCTGTGTGGGTCCCCATGCTGGGCCCTGTTAAGGGCAAGAACCAAGACTGGGGTAAGAGGAGACAGACATGAAAATAGACAATGACCATATACCCTGATAAATGTGGTAACAGAAGAGAGCACAAGCATTCTAGGTGAGCCCACAAGAAGCCCTAATCCAGCCTGGGGTGCCAGGAAGAAGTGCTGCCTTAGCCTGAACTAAGTCTTGAAGAACCAGAAGAGCCATCACCAGGCAGGGGTAGGGAGAGGTGTGGGCTGCAAGAGGTAAGAAAGGAGGACTGTTGCAAGCAAGGGATAGCATGATACTATTATAGCAAGGTGCACAGGTAAGACAGCAAGCTGTATTGGGGGAAACTTAATACTGGTATAGTTGTACTTCATGAAGAGATAGGCAGCTGGAGCAATAATCAGGCCCCAGATCAGGAAACACATTTAAATGCCAAACCCTGGGCAGTGTGACTCAACTGGTTGGGCATCATCCCCCAAAGTGAAAGGCTGTGGGTACAATTCCCAGTCAGGGAACATGCCTGGGTTGTTGGTTAGGTCCCTGGTTTGGGTGCATGTGTGAGGCAATCGATTGATGTTTCTCTCACATCGATGTTTCTCTCCCTCTCTTTCTCCCACCCTTCCCTCCCCCAAAGAAAATTTAAAAAATTTAAGAAACTCGTTTTTTAAAAAAGCCAAGCTGAGGGTGTTTATTTTCTCTTTGTATTTTCTTTTCCTCCCTGTGATGGATGGCAAGGAGTTTAGGGGGGTGAGTGAATTTTCTGAATTCACATTTTTAGCCTACCCCAATTGGTTTTATAAGAAATAACCTTATGAAACCTGTATTTCATGTGGGGATATAGTTATAAGCATTATTAAAACTTGTGACTGACTAAAAAGAAATAGAAAATCTGAATAGACCTATAACAAGTTAAGAGATTGATTTAGGAATTTAAAAACTTCCTACAAAGAAAAGCCAAGGATCAGATGGCTTCAGTAGTGAGCTCTACCAAACATTTAAAGAAGAATGGACAAGGTAGCAGAAAACACCCAATCAGAGCAGCAAAAAGAAAAAAGAATTTAAAAAAATGAGGATAGTCTGAGGGACCTCTGGGGTAACATGAAACACAACATCTGCATCATAGGGGTCCCAGAAGAAGGAGATAGAGAACAAGGAATTGAGAACCTATTTGAAGAAATCATGACTGATAACTTCCCTAACCTGGTGAAGGAAAAGGACACACATGTCCAGGAAGCACAGAGAGTCCTAAATAAGATGAACCCAAAGAGGCCCTCACCAACACATGTCATAATTAAAATGGCAAAGGTTAAAGACAAAGAATCTTAGAAGCAGCAAGAAAAGACAGTTACCCACAAGGGATCTCCCATAAGACTGTAGCCTGATTTCTCAACAGAAATATTTCAGAGTAGAAGAAATTGGCATGATATATCCAATGTGACGATAACAAGTGTCTACAACCAAGGCTATCCTACCCAGCAGGCTGTCATTTAAAATTAAAGGTGAAATAAAGAGCTTCCAAGACAAGAAAAAGCTAAAGGAGTTCATTACCATCAAAACACTATTACAAGAAAGGTCAAAGGGTCTTCTTTAAGGAGAAGGAAGGAAAAAAAAAAGAGAAACACATGTATACAGAATAAATGGAAATGAACACATATCTATCAATAATCACCTGAAATGGAAACGGCTTAAATGCTCCAATGATAAGACATAGGGTAGCCGAATGAGTAAGAAAACAGGACCCATGTGTATGCTATCTACAAGAGATCCATTTCAGAACAAAAGATACACACTAATGGAAAATAAAGGGATTAAACAAAGATTATTTCATGCAAATGGAAATGAAAAAAGATGGGGTAGCAATCTTTACATCAGGCAAAATAGACTTTAAAACAAAGGCTAGTGAAAGAGACAAAGAAGGACACTACATAATGGTAATGGGATCAATCCAACAGAGGATATAACACTTGTAAACATTTATATACCCAAAATAGGCACACCGAAATATATAAAGCAAATCTTGATGGACATAAAGGGAGAGAGCGACAGTAATACAGTCAGTGTAGGAGATTTTAACATTCCACTGACATTCATAAATAGATCTGCCAGACAAAAAATCAACAAGGAAATAGTGCCTTAAATGCCATACTAGACCACATGGATTTAATTGATACAGGGTGTGGCAAAGTAGGTTTACAGTTGTTCATATGGAAAATAAGATATTAATGAATCATAAAACAAGAATAGTCTTCTGCATACTCACAACTGTAAACCTATTTTTACGCCACCCTGTATTTTCAGAACACTTTACACCAAAATAGCAGAATATACATTCTTTTCAAGTGAATTTTGTAGATCGACCATGTTAGGACACAAAACGAGTCTCAGTAAATTTAAGAAGAATGAAGTCATATCAAGCATCTTTTCCAACCACAATGATATGAAACTAGAAATCAATTACAAGAAAAATACCGAAAAACAAATAAACACATGGTGGCTAAAAAACATTTACCAAACAATTGGTTAACAATGAGATCAATGAAGAAATTAAAAGTTACTTTGAAACAAATAAAGATGAATACACAACAACCCAAAATCTATGGGACACAGTGAAAGCAGTCCTAAGAGAGAAATTCATAGCAATCAGGCCTACCTCAAGAATCAAGAAAAATCTCAAATAATCTAACTTTACACCTAAAGGAACTAGAAAAAGAACAACAAACAAAGCGCAAAGTGAGTAGAAGGAAGGAAATAATAAAGATTAGAATAGAAATAAAGAAAATAGAGGCCAAAACAATATAAAAGGTCAATGAAATAAAAAAACTGGGTCCTTGAAAAGATAAACAAGACTGATAAACTTTTAACCAGACTCATCAAGAGACAAAGAGAGGGGACCCAAATAAATAACAAATGAAAGGAAAGAAGTAATAACTGACACTACAGACATATGAAGGATTATAAGAAAGAGCTATGAACACCTATGTGCCAACAAATTGGACAATATGGAAGAAATGGATAAATTCCTAGAAAATTACAATCTTCCAAAACTGAAACAAGAAGAAACAGAAAATCTGAACAGACCAATTACAAATAAAATTGAAACAGTAATCAAAAAATTCCTAACAGGCCTGGCAGAGTAGCTCAGTTGGTTAGAGTATCGTCCCTATACATCAAGGTTGCAGGTATGATCCACAGTCAGGGCACATACAACTATCAATCAATGAGTGCATAAATGAGTGGAACAACAAAGCCTTTCTTTCTTTCTCTCTCTAAAAATCAATTTAAAAAACTCCCAACACACAAAAGTTCTGGACCAGATGGCTTCACAATTTAATTTTACCAAACATTCAAAGAAGAACTAACACTTATCCTACTCAAACTATTCCAAAATATTCAAGAGGAGGGAGACCCCTCAACCTCATTTTATAAGACCAGCATTATCTCAATTCCAAAACTAGATAGAAACACTACAAAGAAAGAAAATTATAGGCTGATATCTCTGATGAATATAGGTGCAAAAATCCTCAACAAAATATTAACAAACCAAATCCAGCAGTCAGCAATACATTAAAAAGATTGTGCACTGCCATGACCAGTGTGGCTCAGTTGGTTGGGTGTCATTCTGCAAAATGAAGGGTCACTGGTTCAATTCCTGGTCACAGCACAGACCTGGACTGTGGGTTCAGTTCATGGTCGGGGCTTGTAAGAGAGGAAACCGATTGATATTTCTCTTTCACATTGATGTTTTTCTCCCTCTCTTTCTCTCTCCCTTCCTCTCTCTTTAAACATAAATAAGTAAAAAATATTTTTTTAAATGATCATACACCATGATCAAGTGGGATTTATTCCTGGGATGCAAGGTTGATACAATGCCTGCAAATTGATTAATGTGATTCACCACATACACAAAATGAAGGATAAAAACCACATAATCATTATCAATAGATGCAGAAAAAGCATTTGATAAAATCTAGCACCCATTTATGATAAAGATTCTCAACAAAATGGGAATAGAGGAAACATGACTCAATATAATAAAGGCCATATATGACAAACCCACAGCCAACATCATATTCAATGGGGAACAACTAAAAGCATTTCCTTTAAGATCAGAAACAAGACAGGGATGTTTGCTTTCACCACTCTTATTCAACGTAGTACTGGAAGTCTTAGGCACAGCAATCAGACAAGAAGAAGAAATAAAAGGCATCCAAATTGGAAAGGAAGAAGTACAACTGTCATTATATACAGATAAGGCAATACTGTATATAGAGAACCCTAAAGGCTCCACCAAAAAACTACCAGAACCAAGAAATGAATTCAGTAAAGAGGCAGCACACAAGTTAATATTCAGAAATCAGTTGCACTTTTACACATCAATAATTAACTATCAGAAAGGAAAACTAAGAAAACAATCCCATTTATAATTGCATCAAAAAATACCTAGGAATAAATTTAACCAAGGAAGTAAAAGCCCTGTACTTGGAAAATGATAAACCACTGAATGAGAGAGAAACTGAAGAAGATACAAATAAATGGAAGCACATACAGTGTTCATGGACAGCAAGGATTAACATCCTTAAAATGTCCATACTACCCAAAGCAATCTACAGATTCAACACAATTCCTATCAAAATACCAATGGCGTTTTTCACAGAACTAGAACAAGTAATCTAAAAATTTATGTGGAACCACAAAAACACCAAAACAGCCTCAGCCATAATGAGAAAGAAAGAAGAATAAAGTTAGAGGTATCATGCTATCTGATACCAAACTAGAAGGCCATAGTAATCAAAACAGCATGGTATTAGCATAAAAACAGATACACAGATCAATGAAACAGAAACAAACCCACACCTATATGATCAATTAGTATTTGACACATAAAGTAAGAACGCAAAATGTGGTAAAAATGGTCTAGTCAATAAATGGTGCTGGGAAAACTGGACAGATACATGCAAAAAGAAAAAAGAAAAGAAACTAGACCACTTCCTTACACCATACACAAGAATAAAATCAAAATGGGTTAAACAGTTAAATGTAATGCTCAAAATCATAAAATTCTGAGAAGAAAACATAGGCAATAAAATTTCTGAAATTTCTCTTAGCAATATTTTTCTGATATATTTTCTTGGGCAAGGGAAACAATAAATGGGACTATATCAAACAAAAGGAAAGGAAACCATCAACAAAATAAAAAGACATCCTACTTAATGGGAGAACATATTCACTAATGATATATCTGGTAAGGGATTAATATCCAAAATTTATAAATAACTCATACTACTTAGCACCAAAAAAATAAATAAATAAAACTAAAAGAATCCAATTTAAAAAAATGGGTAGAGGATGTGAATAGACACTTCTCCAAAGAGGATATACAAATGGCCAATAGGCTCATGAAAAGATGCTCAATGTCACTAATCATCAGGGAAATGCAAATTTCCTGATTGAAAACCACAATCAGATGTCACCGTACACCTGTCTGAACGGCTATCATCAATAAATCCACAAATGACAAGTGTTTGTGAGGGTGTGGAGAAAAGGGAACCCTCACGCACCATCGGTGGGAATGCAGGCTGGCGCAGCCACTATAGGAAACAGTTTAGAGGTTCTTCAAAAAATTAAAAATGGAACTGCCTTATGACCCAGAAATTCCACTTCTGAGTATGCATCTGAAGAAACCTAAAACACTAATTTGAAAAAATATATGTGCACCCCTTTGTTCATTGCAGTGTTATTTACAGTAGCCAATATATGGAAGCAGCCCAAGTGTCCATCAATAGACAATTCGATAGGAAGAAATGTTACATATATACATTGGAATATTACTAAGTCATAAAAAGAATGAAATCTCACTATTTGCGAGACCTAGAGGGTATTATGCTAAGTGAAATAAGTAAGTCAGAGAAAGACAAATACAATATAACTTCACTTATATGTGGAATCTAAAGAGCAAAATAAACAGAACTGAAACAGCCTCAGACATAGAGAGTGGATTGATGGCTGACAGCGGGGGGTGGGTTTGAGGAACTAGGTGAAAGAGCTGATGGGATTAAGAAGCATAAATTGGTAGTTACAGAACAGTCATGGGGATGTAAAGTACAGCAGAGGGGATATAGTCAATAATTTTGTAATAACTGTGTGTGTTGCCAGACGGGTTCTGGAAATATCAGGAAGAACACTTTGTAAAGTATATGATTGTTTAACCACTATGCCGTACTCCTGAAACTAATACAAAATATTATTAAAAGTAAAATGTAATTTAAAAATAAAAATAGCCCTGGCTAGTCTGGTTCATTTGGTTGGAGAGTCATCCCATATACCAAAAGGTTGTGGGTTCGATTCCCAGTCAGGGCATGAGCCTAGGTTGCAGATTTGGTCCCTGGTCAGGGTGTATACAGGAGGCAACTGATCGATGCTTCCCTCTCACATCTACCTATCCTTCCCTCCTTCCCTCCTTCCCTCCCCCTGCACTTCCGCTCTCCCCCTCCCTCCTCCCATCCTTTCTCATCTCTCTAAAATCAATAAGCAAGTTCTCCAGTGAGGATTAAAAAATAAAATAAATAAATAAATTTTCTACAGCAGAGATGAGGAGTTTAATAAAAAAAAAGCCAAGTGTGTTCAGGGAAGATTTTTTTGGTATAGGAGTGAAAAAAGAAAAAAAAAAGAATACCAATCCTTTGCAAACTCTTCCAAAAATTAGCAGAAAAGGAAGCACTCCCGACCAACTATCTGAAGTCAGTTTTACCCTGAAACCTAAACTAAGGAAAGACATCACAAGAAAGGAAAACTACAGGGTCATATCCCTATGAATATAAACACAAAAATCCTAAAAAAAAAAAAAAAAAAAAAAAAAAAAAAAAACGACTAGCACACTGAATGAGCAACACACAAAAAGGATTATATGCTGTGACCAGGTGGGATTTATCCCATTTATGGAAGGCTGGTTTAATACCTGGAAATCAAATGTAATCAAATCTAATACCCTTTCAAGATTAAAAAAAAACAAAAACAAAAACAAACACTCAACAAACTCGGAATAGAAATAAATTCTCAACCCGATAAAAGACACTTATGAAAACCCCCCAACAAACTTTATAATTAATGGTGAAAGACTGAAAGCTTTCCCACTAAGATCAGGAGTGAGACAAGGATGTCCGCTCTTGCCACTTCTACTCATCATTGTACTGGAAGTTAAAACCTTGGCAATTAGTCAAGGAAAAAAAGATTTTTTTTGTCATGGTGACTCCGCTGTATTGCTTTGGTTGCTAGGAAGCTCAGGCTTGCTTTAGGCAATAGGCCTCTATTGTGAGCAGAAGTGCATGATGTGCATGTTTCAGTGACAGAATTACCTTCGGACTCATTCTTTTCCTGTCCCTATTTTCCTTTCATACAATGCTCTAAATTGTTTATGTATTAATGCTTATTTGTTTACACTCTACTCCAAAAATGTTCTGTTATCTTTCATAAAGATACTCTAATGCTGTATGAATATGAATGTCACTGTAAGTCCTCTGTGGAGTGAAAAATAGATGGATAGAATATTAGACCTAAACGTGTGGATGAATGTACAGTCTGGAAAGATCTGGCAGTTGGAGGGGCAGGACTGGAGGTGGGGAGATCAAGGAGGGAAATGGCACCATTATAAAGTTTAAGGGAACCCTGCCAACTCCTCCAGCCTTATATTTCCCTTTTCCTACAAGTTACCTGTCCGTTGCACTGACACCTACCGATCGTGGCTCCTGCACAGGCCATTTTAACTCCTTCCCCTGTATCTCGTGTAACGCTGTTCACCCTGCCCAGAATGCCCGCCCTCACCTTCTTAACCGCTACGCAGCCTGCAAAGCTCATCTCATCGGAACCTCTCCAGGAAGCTTGCCCTCCTGGCCTGTGGCAGAGGCATTCCCCCTTCCTCCAGGCTTCCAGCTCCTGGGTTTCTCGTTCTCAGCACTGACTGTGTGCACTGTTCCCGTCCATCTTGCCCATTAGACGAAGGACATCTCAAGGGCAGGACCATGTCCCATCCATTTGTATTCCCAGGATTCGGAGGCAGCATCAGAAGTGAGGTGACATTAGGCAGATAGGCAGAGGCAGCAGCAACCCTTCCTAAACACTGGTCAGAACCACACCCCAGCCAGACCCCAGGTGTTGTCTGTGCCCCCACAGATGTCCCTACCAGTAGCCATGGGTCTCCTGGAAGGGACTTCCAGACCTGCCATGTGCTGGCTTCCAGGGGCTGACAGCAGGCCAGCCGTCCAAGGGCTGCGCCATCTGGGGGAGCTGGGAACGAGCGGGCAGGGGCAGGTGGATCCAGGCACCTGTGTCAAGAAGATGGACTCTGTGCTCTTGCTGTCCTCATCTGACGGGTGCTCCGGGCTGAGGTGAACAGCGGTGTCGCTCCGGCGAGATGTGGTCTCCTCACTAGGCACAGAGGAGGTGGAGCGGATGGGAGGAAGTGGCACAAAGGTCCGGTGGTGCAGGGAAGGCCCTTCCAGGCCCTCGATGAGCATCTCTGGCTTCCGAGAAGTGTCTTTGGTGGTGGACAGCCCTTCAGCCACCCGTGACTCCGACATTTCCTTTGACGGAGACTTGATCGTAGTGGCAGGGAGGTGATGGAGAAGCAGAGGCTGCTTTGGTACTTTTGGGACTTGGGTTTTCACCTGTCATGGGAGAAGGGCTGAAGTGTTTTGCTTCCTAATTGGAATCTCTCCTCCTAAGAATCACCCACCGAAGGCCACTTAGTATAGTGATCAGAGCACTGGGTAAGGACTCACAGGAGGAGGAAAGGAGCAAAATGACACTTAACTGGGCACCTACGATGTGCACGACGCATGACATACGTTGTTTTGTTTACACCTCAGAACTACCCAGTGAATAATTATCTTCATTTTATAATGAGGAAATGGGCTCAGAGAGGTAAAATGACTTGTCCAACGTCACAGAGTTATTCAGTGGCAGAGCTTAGACTACCTAACTCTTGTTCTGGGCTCCAGGCCTCACTCTAATCCCCTGACCACATCACTCTGGCCCTCAGTAGCCTTATTCCTCTGTTCAGGGTTTAACCCAGTGCCCTTGATGCCCTCAGGGATGCCCAGGAGGGCACGGGGGCGATGGTCCTGCATTTTCTGGAAGGCAGCAGCGCCAGGGGGTCCTCGCACCTTATATAAAGATCAATAAGCTCAATCTCTCTCAGGGCTCAGGACCAAGGAAATTACTTCTTTCCTGTTGGAACTGCTCAGCTTCCTTAAATTAGCAAAAGCCTGTTACCCTTCCACCCTCTTCCTTTGCCTCAGCTGCCAGGAGGGAGCCATGCGCCACAGCCGTTGCACCGTTTCCCTCAGCTGGGCTCAGCTCTTCCTTCCCTCCCAAGTCACATGGTAGGTTGATTTTATTCTTCGTCAAAGGTATTTGGTCTACTTATATCTACACTTTGACAGACAATGCAGTGAGTGGAAAGAACCTACGCACTGTTGTTAGAAAAATATGGGCGGGAACGCAGTTCTATCTTCGAGCTCCCATGTCTTTCTCGTGAAATGGGAGCGTAGTCCCTGTCCTGCCTGTGTTCTCCCGAATGAGACGATGTGCGCAAACCTTCCTAACAAACTAAAAAGTGTGAAGGATGGCTGTTTTATAAACAATGTTTCCTTCTCAAAAATATGTAAAACTTTAGTGTTTACACTTGGAGCTTAGGGACCCAGAGTCTTTTTTCAGAAGGTCAGAAGAAACACCAAGTGTTATCATTTGCTGCTGGTGGGGAAGGGGCAACAGTTCCTTATCCCTGCCTCTCACAGGTCTGGGCTGGAGCGGCGTAAGGGTGGGGGTAGGGGAAGGGGTGGCTGATGGGGGGGGTGGAGTGGAGTGTGGGGAGGGGAGAGAGGCTCTTTGTCTGGTCCTCCACCACTTTTCTAGCTCCTTCTCAAGGAAAGACTGGATAGCTAATTGGCTAGAGGTTAACAGGCACTGGGCCCTATGTCCCCGGTGAGCTGGACTGGCCAGCACCAAGGGCAGCCTGTTTGATCTTCCATTTGTGTTCTTCATGCAGAGGGCTCACCCAGCTTCTTGTTGAGGTTGCACGTTGGGTGGGGCCGGGCCTGCTCTGGCAGGTTTTCCATTTCCCCCAGTTCTGTCCAGGCCTAGGCCTGAGGGAGGGCCAGCAGTCTTTGTCCATGTAACTGGCTAAGTAAAAGACCCAGAGTCTGCTGCGTACACCAGGCCATCTCTGTGAGTCCGCTGGGACGTATTGGCATCTCCAGTCTAGCTAAAGGCCTAGCCACATTCTCCAGTCTACTCTACATTGGAGGTTAGATGGTGTTTGCCTAGATTTATAAAGCATTGATTTGTTTCTCATTTGGCCACTGGATTTGTATTTATCCTCTATCAGTCAGAACCTTAAAGGCTCTTTTGGACCTGAATGCTAATTTTTAACAAGTATGTCATTTTACCTATGTGAGCCTCTTCCTTGTCTGTTGTGAGGATTATGGGATAGCACATGTGCTCAGCTGTGCACTGGGCAGGGGTGCTATGTGCATAGGAGAGAGGATTACGGGCTTAGCATCCGGCTCACTCTACTTCTGCCCTCCCCAGCTGCTGATGGGAAGAGACGGGGAGGAGGCAACAGACAAGAGGAAGATGATGAAAACCCTTTGAATGTCTGTCTTTTTCTGGTTTTAAATGCTGCTCTGGTCCTATAAGGGCTCCAGACAAGAAAGAACTAGGCTGGGCTGAGGCAGACTGTGGAGCAGGTGGCAAGGAAGAAACTACTTAACTTTTGGGGCCAGCAGCGCTCAGTCCAGCTTTTGGCTATAGGAAGACTAAAGTTCAGGAGGGAGAAGCATTTCACAGGAATTTCTGAAATTCATCAGATGAAGGAGGGATTTAACTTATTTTATGGCATCCCAGAAGGCAAGTCTAAGACCACTGGCTGGGGAGGGCCCAGAGGGAGCCGACTGCTCTCAGCCTGAGGAAATGCTTCTTAAGCTTCAGGCAGGAGGTGTGTGTTCCAGGCCTGACCCAGCCCCCGTGCTTGCACAGGTGACTATGACTTGCACTTGCATGGGTTTGGGAGTTTATCACGTACTTCCATATCTGTTGCTCCATCCGAGCCTCTCAGCATCTTGGAGAGGTTTTAGAGTTGAGAAGCTGAAGCTCAGAGAGGGAAAGTCGTGCCCAAGTTCAGGCAGCTGTGGAAAACGAAGGGGCCCGGCTCATGCTGGGGTCTTCTGACTCTCCCCGCATCTTCACAGCTCCTTCTCTGGGCCTCAGTTTCTCCATAAAATTAGGGGGTTGGACGCAATGACCTGCAAGCCTGCTGCGGACACTGCCTTTTGGGTCTCTCTGACTGCCTCATCCCTCCTGGGTTTCTCTGTATTAAAAGAGCAGGGAGAGGAGAAGACACTACTGCACTGCCGCGGGGGCGGAGGGCGGGGAGCGCAGGGAGGGATGCAGCTCGATTGCCAGGCTGGTCCATGTACGCTGACATCCGCTCCACTGCCTCTGGGCTTAGAGGTCCCACCTTGGAAGCCTCACCTTCCTTGAGGCTTTCCGAGGTATCAAAATACGATGTTTAGCCTTCACTATCCTCCTTCGAACTAAGTGGATCCCCAGCCGCTCCTGGAGGAAGCTCTTTAGCAGTGGAGGGACCCCTGGAGCCATGATGGGAAAATAAGATTATGGTTAGTTAAGACTTATGAGGGGTTTACTATGAGCCAGACACTTTCCAAATTGCTGTACACGTATTAACTCACTTAATTCTCACACCAACCCTAGGAAGTAGGTACCCATAATCCCATGCAATAGATGAAGAAACTGACACAGAGAGAGGTTAAGGAATTTGCCCAAAGCAACAAGGATAGTGTGGAGCAAGGATTAGAACTTTGCTGGTGTCCCTCCAGGGCCCAGGACTCTCAAATGCCTTCTGCCGCCTCATGTTGGACAGTGGATTCTGCTGCTGACACAGCAGCCACTGCATTCAGTATGTTTTGGGACAGAACAGCCCTGCACCCTCCCAACTGGTAAATGAGGTCACGACAGACTTGTTCCACCAAGCAGGGTATTGCTTAAATAGTCCATGCAGGATCTAGATAATCCTGTATTCCATCCTCAGCTATGCCTCTTTCTTGCTGTGTGACTTTGGGTAGACCACGGACCTCCCTGTGCACAGGGCCGGTAACGCCTGCCTCACGGGGCTGCTGTCGGGATGAGTGGGTGTAGAGCAGGTGCTCTGCAGTGTCTCCTCCATCCCCCTTGTCCACCCATGATGGAGAGCAGAGCCCAGGGCTTGGCATCGAGGAAGTGGGGATGAGGGTCCCCACACTGCTTCCTGGGCACTGGGGTGGGGGTGGGCAGCTTCGCAGGAACCATACCTTTTCTGTGGGCCACCAGAGGGTTGTTATGAAAGATGAGCTCACAGAGAGATGGGAAGAGGGCTACGGGCAGGATGGCGTCTTCCTTCGCAATCTGTGAGCATGCAGGAGAGAGCATCGGTTAACAGTGCTGCTCACCTCTGCAGGGCTACATGCTTGCTAGGCTGGGGAGGGGCTGGGGATGTGGTGCTGCTGTGGACGGGACTCATGCTGGGCCGCCTCGTATCCTTGAAATGTCACCTGCTCACCCCCAGAACACCTTGCCCCTCCTGTTCAAAATTCTAACATCACTGTTGAATGCTTGAGAATTACAAATTTTTCTCCCTTCTCCATACTGGTTATGTAGCCTATCCCATGTTTTAAGGATGTTGGTAACAACAACAACAAAAAATAACAAACACATATAGCACTTGTCTTGCAATGAGTCTGAAAGGGAGGCAGGGCATTGACTTTGGCTTCAGGATACAGTTTGTCTGATACTTCACCTTCCTCACTGCAACCTCTACACACCCCATCAGTCTATCAACAGCTCTCCTGATAGTCTCTTTCACTGGGCCTGTCCTGGGCACTGATCTGGGGAGGGACAGGGACAGGAGGTCAGGGGGACCCAACTATCTAAGGGAAAGGCAGAGCCCATCGTAAGGGAGACCGCATGGCTGTCTGGGGCCTGGAGGCGGCTCCACCCCTGTGAGCACAGCCTCTGAAGGGCAAAAAACACACCATCTGTGTTGAGCAGAGTGGCTGGAACATCTGGGGACAACCTTAGGGAGGGTGTCTATTAGCAACAGGACAATGTCAGAGATATCAGTATCACAGAGGCCAGGAGTGGGGGCAGTGACTTTTTAGATGCCTGGAAACATGAAAGCTGTTGGGTCAGACCCTCTAGTGCTGAGGTCTGAGGGCTGGAAGGAGGAGGGCACTTCAGCTTGGTTTCCTCTGGAGATTCACTGGATAACATGTCCAATGGGCAATTAACCTAGTCATTGTCTTTCATGTTTGTTCATCCAATCAAATATCTACTGAATGTCTGCATGTGACAAGCACTGGGTTGGAGCTGAGTAAAACAGATATTACTCCTGTCCTCACAGAGCACTGCCTAGCAAGGAAGAAACTGTAGCATAAAGGACAGTCGATTTACTGCTTTGATTAGTGCCATGAAAGAGAAGCACATGAAGCACTGGGGTGATTTGACCTAGTTAGGGAGATAAGGCGTTCCTGAGATCTGAAGGATGGGTGGAAGGTAATTAGTGAATGCAGTGGAGGATACAGTATGAAGCAGACAAACCTCTGTATTAACCAAAACCCTTTCCTTTACTTGCTGGGCACACAGATAGACTGTTCATCTTCTTGCCTTCCAGGCAGCCAGATGTGGTTATATGACTCAGTTCTAGCCAATGCAATCTCAGTGGAAGTGAGAAATGCCATTTCCAGCCATAGCCCATTCAAAACCCACTGCATGATCCTCTTCATCTCTCAACCACCTATCCACCAGATGCACGGGATCCAATACCATACTCTTAAGACACTATGCCAGAGCCAGAAGGGACCTGGGTCCCTGAATGGTCATGTGAAAGGCCACTGGCCAATCAGAAATATCCACAGTGAATTTTGTAAAAGGAAGAAATAACCTTTTATTGTGTCAAGTCATTGAGATTTTAAAGTGTGTTGCAGTAGCTAGTATTACTACTCTAATTAACGCACAGAGGAAGTGTTCCATGCAAAGAGAACAATGTGTGAAAGTCCTAACCATGAGGAGAAAAGCCTGCTGGAGGGATTTAAAGAATAGTATGACTAGAGCTGAGAAAAAGGGGGCTTCTTGCAAAATGAGGCTAGTGATGCAAGAATGGGCCAGACTAAAGCTAGTCAAAGGTTTTAGTTAACAGGTCCATGGGGAACCTATTAGATGAATTTTTACAAATATGAGGACCTAAATTTGATTAGATTTGGTAATGGAGGACATGTGGGTGGGAAAGAGCAATGTAAGGGAGAGAAAAGTATCAAGGGTGACAACCACGCTTTGGTTTGAGTACCTGGATGAGTGATGGAGTTATTCCCTAAGGTATGGAACAATGAAAGGCCATCAGGTTTGAAGGGAAAGATCATTAATTCACTTTGGATACATGTACTTTGGAGGTACCTTTGAAACCTCCAAGCACAGAATCATATAGACAGCGGGTACACTGGAGCAGAGGGGAGTGGCCTGTACCGGAGGAAAATTTGTGAGTCACTGTTCATGGGCCAGTGGGTATGTGAAGCCATCCCTAGGGAGAGAGTACAGAGTGAGAGAAGAAAAGGAACTAGGAGTGGGCTTTGATCATCTAGACCAGGGCTTGGCAAAATTTTTTGGTCAAGGGCCAGGTAATAAATATTTTATGCTTTCCAGGCCATACAGTCTCTGTCGTAAATATTCAACTTTGCTGTTGTAGCACAAAAGCAGCCATAGACAATTCATAAGCAAATAAGTATGCTGGCTCTGTTCCAACAAAAGTTTACTTATGTACTCTGAAATTTGAGTTTCATAGAATTTTAATGTGTCATGAAGTATTATCCTTCTTTGGTTTTTTACAACCATTTAAAAATGTAAGAATCACACTCAGCTTGGAGGCTGTACAAAAACCAGGGTCAGCAGATACAGCCCATGGGCTAAGTCTAGGTCCCCATCTATTTAGTAAAGTTCCATTAGGACACTGTCATGCTCATTCATTTCCATATTACCTTTTGTGCTACAAGAGCAGAGTTGAGTAGCTGCAAGAGAGTAATACATTTAATTTTTGGCCCTTTACAGAAGAAGTTTGCTCAATTCTTATCTAGACACTAGAAAAGGAGGGAGGGAGGACGAAACTACAAAGATGCCTAATTTGTGTTGATAAATGACTATATAATGGTGGTTAAATAGGGTGCAGCTCTTATACGCAAATCAGGTCATCCAGAAGCTGTCAAACAGAATGGGGGATGGAAAATTTAATTTTGTCAGGATGCAAAATTCCATCCATCCAAGTCAGATGGCTAAAAAACTGAAAAAAGTTACAATTAAAACTAGTAAAGAGTTGAAAGATACCCAGGGAACATGTATCAAATTTTCTGTGAAATTAAGTCCCACCTGAAAGATATGCCTTAAGACTCTGGCTGATGTAAGAAGAATTTGGCCATCAGGCTAGCTTGTTCGCTATAGGGTAAGTTGAGTGCCCCTGGAAATAAATTCAGGTAGCAATGACAACTTGAAATTTCTACCCAATTTCATTGGGTTAAGGGACTATAACTTAATATATCAAATTTATGAACTAAGTAAATAGTATTAAAGGTGAGTGAAAGTGGTGGTATCAGTCAAGATGGTGACTTAGGGAAATATGGCACTCTAATCCTCCCGCAACTGCATCAAAATTACAGCTAAATTACGGGACAGCCATCATTCAGTAGACCTGAAATCTGGCTGAACAGAAAGAACTCCTACAACTAAGGATATAAAGAAAAAGTCACGAGGTAGGATGGGTAGAGACATCAAATGGCTGGTCCCACATCCAATTTTGGCAAATAAAAATTGGGAGGCATATCTCAGGTGCGGAGGTCCCCCTTGAAGAGCGAAAGGTCCCAGCCCCACACAAGGCCTCCCAGCCCAGGGTTCCAGCGCCAGGAAGAGAAGTCCCTTTAACTTCTGGTTATAAAAGCCAGTGGGGATTGTGGCTGAGTGAGAGAGAGGGCCTCTAGAGTCCCAGGAATTCCTTTTAAGGGGTCTGGATGCTGATGGACTTGCTCTGAACTCCAGTGCTGGGGAAGCAGCTCAAAATGCACCAGGGACATACCAGAAGGAATTGCATTGTCTGGCTTCAAGGTGAGAGCTAGGAGGGCAGCTTTCTCTCTGATAGAAGTGCAAGCAGAGGCAATGATCCTTTGCTGACCCCTCCCTACACAGCGCTGACAGGCAGGAACCATATCTGAGTCTCCATCAACCTGGCTCACACTGTTTGTCCCACCCTGATAATTCCCTGAGACCTTGCCTTAGCCAATTTGTGGGTCCACCCAAGCTGTTTCCAGTGGCTTATCCATACAAATGGCCTCTCTTGGCTTATGCTTCTGACTTTTTTAAAACCTCTTAAATAAGCAGCATCTGGCCTTAGTGTGTGCCCTGTGCTTCTCACTAAGTGGCCCCAGGTTCAGCATTAGCAGCAGCCAGCCTTAGTTTGCCGCTTGGCCTCTCCTGGATACCTCTAAGCCAAGCACAAGAAGCTGCCATCTATAGATCACTTGGTAGTTTATGGTGGGTGGGCAGGGCACAGGTGGCAGCTGACCTTAGCCTGCACCTCCTGGAAGGTTACAGAGCCAGTGAACCCAGTGGATAACTTCAGACCACATTGAAGCACCACCCAACTGCCTCCACAAGTGACACACTCAAGGGGTGGGCTCAGCAGGCACCAGAGCTCTGCTGAAATAAGTCCTGCTTTGTGGGGTCAGCCTCTGCACAGCTGATCCTCCACAGTGGTCACAGCCAGTTCTCTCAGCCAGTGAACCTGGGGCTAAATATCTCCCACTGATGTACCAACATCAATCAAGGATCAACTACAACAGGAGAGTGTACACAGCCCACACAGGGAGTGTACCTGAAGCACCTAGCTCAGGTGACCTGGAAGGATGTGCCATTGGACCTTACAGGACACCCAGTACATTAGGCCATACTACCAAGACACGGAGTCAAAGAAGCTCTTCCTAATACATAGAAACAAACACAGGAAGGCTGCCAAAAGAAGCAGACAAAGAAACATGGCCCAAGTGAAAGAACAGATCAAAACTTCAGAAAAAGCCAAATAAAATGGAGATAAGCAATCTATCAGAAGCAGAGTTCAAAACACTGGTTATAAGGATGCTCAAGGAGCTTAGTGAGGACCTCAGAAGCTTAAAAGAGACCCAGTCAGAAATGAAGGATATGCTAATTGAAATAAATAACAATTTACAGTGAAACAACAGTAGAGTGGATGAAACTGAGATCAAATAAATGATTTGGAACACAAGGAAGCAAAAACAACCAATCAGAACAGCAAGAAGAAAAAAAGAATCCAAAAAAATGAGGATAGTATAAGCAGCCTCTGGGACAATTTCAAAAAGCCCAACATTCGCATCATTGGGGTGCCAGAAGGAGAAGAGAAAGAAGAAGAAATTGGAAATCTATTTGAAAAAATAATGAAAGAAATCTTCCCTAATTTGGTGGAGGAAGTAGACATGCAAGTCCAGGAAGCACAGAGAATCCCAAACAAGATGGACACAAACAGGCCCACTCCAAGACACACTATAATTAAAATGCCAAAGGTTAAAGATAAAGAGAGAATCTTAAAAGCAGCAAGAGGAAAACAGTTAGTTACCTACAGGAGAGTTCCCACAAGACTGTCAACTGATTTCTCAAAAGAAACTTTGCAGGCTAGAAGGGATGGGCAAGAAATATTCAAAGTCATGAAAAGCAGAGATGTATAGCCAAGATTGCTTTACCCAGCAAAACTATCATTTAGAATCAAAGGGTGGACAAAGAACTTCCCAGACAAGAAAAAACTAAAGGAGTTCATCATTGCCAGACCATTATTATATGAAATGTTAAAGGGACTTATTTAATTAGATCAAAATTATGAATAATAAAATGGCAATAAACACATACCTATCAACAATTGAATCTAAAAAACAAACTAAGCAAACAAGAACAGAGTCAGAATCCTGGTTACAGAGAGTGTTGTGATGGTTGCCAGATGGCAGGGGGGTGTGGGGTAATGGGTGAGGAGGTGGGGGAATTAAGAACAAATAAGTGGTTACAGAATAGCCATTGGGATGTTAAGTACAGTACTGAAAATGGAGTAGCCAAAGAACTTATACACATGACCCATGGTCATGAACAATGGTGGAGGGATTGCCTGAGGGAGTTGGGGTTGCTGGGTGGAGGGGGGCAAAGGAAGAAAAATCAGGACAACTGTAATTGCATAATCAATAAAATATAATTTAAAAAACTGAATAACTTACATCATCACTTTTCTTGAGTATAACAGAGAGCTAAGGTCTCAGGGCAATCAAATGGCCTGAAAGCTAAAGTTGGATGGGCATGTTGAAGGAGACATGGGACACAGACACTGGCTCTTCTATGGCAGAATGTGGGAAGAAGAGATGGCAAGTGCCACACGAGCATTTAAGAAGAAATCAACTAAAAGTTTTAAATAATTGCAAAAGGCCAAGTGTGGGCTAGAGTAAGAGAACAGGCTGCAGACGTAAGGAGAATTCACACCCACTTGTATGTGAAAGACTGGACACAGGAAGGGAGGCTGGAGAACAGCTTCCTTGGGCTGTAGGCCCGGAGGAGTTCAGCAGCTGCCTCTGCAGGAAAGGCAGGAATTCTTGCCAACCCTTCTCCCTAGTAAACAAAAGGCTTAAGTTGCTGAGGAAAGTCAGCAATCTTTGTTGGGCCCAGAGCCCTGCATGGAGGGTAGGGTGCGGGAGTGGTGGAGAGGGAAGAGATAAAAAAATTAAAACTTACTACTCTTGGGATAGTGGACAGGAAACCAACTGGGGTCCACTACATTAGAGATATTCTACTGCTGGGAGAGGGGTAGGATCACTGAGAAAGGCTCATTCTCGAGATACAGGAACCCAGAGCCTGCTAAAGACTAGGGTTGTACCCTCCCTTTGGCCTTGCTACCAGCAGACTAGCCAGCACTAAGTAACAGGCAAAAACAGCCTATTGATGGGGAAAGAACAAGAGTGTGGAGATAAAACCCTCAGGTGTAGGAACCCAGGGAAGACTGCAAGCTGAGGCTAGAGCAGAAGCACAGATATATGCTCTGACACCCCAGCAAGAACCAACCATATGCTGTCTCAAAGAGAAGTGCTTTAAATATAAAGCTACAAATCAGTTGAAAGTAAAAGGATAGAAAGAGACATACCATGCCAATAGATAGTAAGAGTATGTTCTGTATCTCTATTAAAATCAGACAAAATAAACATTAAGAAAGGAGTATTATTAGAGGCAAAGGATGACAGTCATAATAATGAAAGTATCAACACATAAGGTAGATAAAAAATTCTAAATGTATATGTACCTGATAGTAGAGCTTGAAAACACATGCAGCCAAAACTGACAAAACTAAAGGGAGAAAAAAAATCCACAATTGTGACTGAAGATTTTAACACACAGCTCTCAATAACTGATAGAACAACTAGACAAAACAACGGTACAGAAAAGACCTGAGTAACACTACCAACCACCTGAACTTAATTGATATTTATAGAACACTATCCCCGCAAACTGCAGAATACACATTTTTTAAATGCACATGGAATGTTCACAAAGATAGAATATAGGGTGGACCATAAAGCAAACTTAAACAGATTTCAGAAGAATAAAACCTAACAGCTTATGTTATCTGAGCACAACAGAATTAAATTAGAAATCAACAAATATAAGACATGTAAAAGAGTTCCATATATTTGGAAATTAACTCATTTCTAAACAACCCAGAGGTCAAAGAAGAAATCACAATAAAAATTTTAAATATTTTAATTGAATGAAAATAAAAACACAAATCACAATTTGTAGGATGCAGTTAAAAGAGTGCTTAGAAAGAAATTTAGTTTTATATGCTTATATTAAAAAGAAGAAAGGTCTAAATCAATGGCCTAAAATTACACTACTTGGGAAATTAGATAAAGAGGAGCAAGTTAAATTCATTGTGAGTAGGCAAAAAATAAAGGGTTGAGCAGAAATCAGTAAAATGGAAAAGAGACAAATAATAGAGAAATTCAGTGAAACCAGCAGCTAGTTTAATAAAAAATTCAATCAAAGGGATAACTTCTAATTATTTTGGATCAATAAAATATGAGAAAAGACAAAAATTGCCAATTTCAAGAATGAAAGAATATATCTATGGTCTACTTTGTACAGGGTGCGAAGATCATTCAATGGGGAAAGAACAGTCTTTTCAATAAATGGTATTGAGAAAACCCCCATTTCATACTGCACATAAAGATTAACTCAAAATAGATCAAAGACCTAAATGTCAAAGCTAAAATTACAAAACTCTTAGAAGAAAACACTTGGGGAGTTTAGCTGTACCAACTGCTTGTCTTAGAAGGAAAGTAAGCAGAGTACCTTACAAGAGGCCCACATGCCAGACTTGAGGATGGCTCATCTAGTGGGGTGTACAGGAATTCTAACAGGACATTGATATTGGGGAAATATATTAATGTAAAACATGTTAAGAAAAAACATGTTAAATCTGTCCTATGGTCTTTACATCTGCTATACCCTTAGGGCTAGGACATTTTTCTACATTCTACCCTTACTCTTCAACTCACTAACTTCATTGATTCAGGTCTTAGCTTAAACACTACTCTCTCTAGAACCTTCCCTAATCCCAAATATTAGGTTAGACACCTCCCCACCCCCATGATATACTTCTTAGCACTGTGAATTTCTTCATAACACCAAACATGCTTATACTGTGATTATTTGTCCAGTATCAGTCTTTCCTATGGGTGACAAGCTCCATAAGGGCAGAGGCCTGATCTTTCTTCATACAGCTGTATACCCAGTGCCTAAGACAGAGCCTGACACACGGTTTAAGTGCTAAATATCTGTGACTGAATGGAGGGACTCCTGTCTTAGCTTGCACTCCCTCCACTTCCCCCTACACTGAGAATTGAGCCCTCATACCTGTAATGCAGGGAATTAGAGGGCTGGCCTTTAGGCCAGAGCAGCTGGCATCCCACCCTCCCATCTGGGCCCCTGAGGGAATAGATAGAGAAGCAGAGAGTCACCTTGTTGTAGGCCAGGCTAAGATACCTCAGCTCTGGGAAGGGTGGGGCCAGCGTCTGGTTCCTGGCCTTCAGTGACTTCACAGGAAGAATCTCAAATATGGGAGGAAGTGCACATACCTTGGTTGTCTTAGTAGGAAAAAAAAAAAAATCAAAGTCAGAGTGCCTTGATGATTAAGAAGTTGAAAGCTGCCCAGGGCCAACTGACCTTTCCTATGGCATGTGGTGGAAAGAATGATCACTGCAGGGAGGCTCAGCCAAAAGAGACATGTGGGATCATAAAGGACAATGTCTCTGATAGCTCAGAGTTCTGGCTCCAAGTTCTCTGAGGTCACATGTGAGCTAATTCTCCAGCACCCAAAGTTCTAGTTTCGAGCTCTCTGAGGCCAAAGGATGACACAGCACAAGTGTAGACATCAGAGGTTCTTTGCCCCCCATCTCCCACACTCTGTCCTACAGCAGCTTATCCTGAACTGGATCCTCCTTCTATACAGTGGGACTAAAATTTCTCCAGAGGACAAAGGGGAAGGCTCTTGCATCATTAAGGGGACTTTTCCTAGCAGAGAAATAGAGGAGTAACCTGAGCCTTGAACACCTGGTCTGATGCGTTAGCTCACGTCCTACAGTGCAGGTTTGTCTTCCCAGGATGGAACAACAGCTACGTCCTGGATTACTTCAGGCAGGCCGTGGGGTCTGAATGTGGCACAATGTGTGTCTGCGTAACTTACAGCGTCATGGTCTCTCAGTACAACCCAGCTTGCCTCGGGGTCAACATGTTTGATCAAAAGGAAATTGAAATTGCTGGATTAACTGTGCCTAACTCAGTTCACTCACTGATTCCTTGAGTTAGATGGAACCATAGGAATTTAGATGTTGGGCTAATGACTGGGTTCAAATGAACTAGATTCTGTTCCAAGCTCGGTTAACTAATGTGTCCTGTACAATACTGCATATTGTAAAAGACTAAATCAACATTAAGTTAGTGCATCAATCTTTGTGAGCTTGGGTAGTAAGTGTCTACATTGAGAGAAAAATCAGTATTCTGGGCTAACAAAAATAAGATGTCTAAGCCAATGGCACCAAGGATTAGACCTTGGATGGTGGTATATTTGGCAAGGATCACTTGCTTTAGGGGACTCTTGTTAGGAGCTAATGAAATTCATCCTGGTGGCAGCCTCACTTCAATCCCAGCTTGATCAGTTGAGGCAGCAACGTCAACCTACTGCATAGCAGCAGGACACAGTGAAAGCCAGTCTGTGGGCTGCGTGAGATCAGAGAACCTGCCTATCTAGTCCAACAGTTGCATCCCACAGGCCAGCGCAGTGCTCAGCATGTGATAGGTACTTGGGAAATATTTGTTCAATGAATCAGCTTCCTCAATGTGACATATACAAATGTCTTTCATGGTTCCATTAGCTTATTTCTGTTCATTAAAATTAATGTTCTAACTCAAAGACACAAACATAAAACACATGGATCCTACCTGCGAGGTAGAAAATCCAGGGTATGATGAGAACACAACCTCTGAAACAAAGGAGACACAGAACAAAGGTTGGTGAGAGGGTGGAGTGACTCCAGAAGGGCCAGGGTCTGGCTCTGTCACCCACTGTGTAGAGCAGGGTGCCTCCTATAAGAGTCCTCACTGGTCTTCAGCTCCAATGCTAACTGGGAAGAGGAGCTGGCTGTGACCTGTCAGGTAATAAGCCTGTTGCCTCAAAATAAAGTCCAAACTCCTTGTCAAGTCCTCTGAGGTCCTGCCTGACCTGACCCCTGCCTACTTTTCCAATCTTATCTCATGCTACCCTGCACCCCTCCTTTACTATATTTCAGCCATACTGACCTTCTTTTTCACTTTGCAACATGCAAGCTCTTTCTAGCCTCAGAACTACTGGGCAGTCAGCATTACTGATCAGAAGACAAACCAATGTGTCTTAGAAGAGAGAAATGTAGATAAAAGATATTCTGTCAGAGAATTTGAAAGTACTATTTGTTATGTTAGTGGAAATAGAATGTGTTAAGACAGTGAATTTAGGAGAAAGACTAAGAGTAATCAGCAGCACAGCAGTAGGGAAGAGGCTGCAGGCTGGTTTTATTCTTGGGACCATCAGAATGAGATGAGCCAATAAACAGCTGGGTTCAACCTAATAAATCAGAGCACTGGCTGGGACTACATCCTGTGCAGGCACTGCTCACCTTTGCTCCAGCTAACAAGACCCCTTCCACATGGTAAGGATGTTATACTGAAAAAGGTGACATGAAATGAAGTAAACAATAATATGGGTGGAATACCACCTGTGACGAGGGTCTGGAAAGGAGTTTGGGAAAGGTTTGTGTAAGAAACAAATTAAGAATTAGCAGAAGGATGGGCCATGGCTGCAGGTGCGGGTGCTGAGGAGTGATCGTCTGGGGAGGCTGACAGACTCCTCATCCAGAGAGATGAGCTGCCGCACACGCTGCCTGAATGCATGTTCTGCCCTTCCCCACACTCCCAGGAAGCTGCCCCAGCTATCAGAACCTGCAGCCTAAGGCTCTGCATGGGGATTGTTCAACAAAACATGCGCCACTAAGAATCTCCTGATATTTGAGGAGAATTAACACTATGAAACAAAGTCATTTAATATGAGAAATAGAAGAACTAACATCTGAATAAAAACCTCAACAGAGTTTAGTTAACAAAAAATATAAAAGCTTTAAAATGGAATAATTGTATTCTCTGAGGAATTCAAAAGTGATTTCATTCCTAAATCAAAAGCAGGGGAGAGAAGCTATTAACAGTTTTGTGAATTTAAAATATGATAATCAAATAGATGACAATAAATGTGCTGGGTGAATGAACAGACCCAGGTGAAGAGCTAATTCATAAAGTAAAAGACTAAGCTGAGACACTCCTTCAGAATACAGTGCAAAAAGGCAAAGGAATATCAAGCACAACAGAAAAGAGGACTACAAGGTAGGTCCATATGATGGAATTTGAGATGGAGATGACAAAGATAATGGAAAGGGGAAAATGAAAATTTCCCCAAGATGAAGAGAACCATATATCTTTGGTTGAAAAAACCTTTAAAGTGCCTCACAGGATAAACAAAAAGAGTTGTACATGTAGATGCATCTTAGTGAAGTTTCCAAAGGATAAAAGGGATATATTAAATTCCAGAGAGCAAAAATTGCCTTCCAACAGAGAGACAGACTTCTCATTGGCAACAACAGATCTAGCAGGCAATGGAGAAATATTGTCAAAACTTTTAAGAGAAAATTATTTTAAAGCCAGAATTCTCTAATCAACCAAACTAGCATTCAAGTATAATATCAAAATTAAAATGATATCGGATATTTTAGAAACTCAGAAAAATCTGCTACATGTAAATGAAAAGCAATGTACAAAGGAAACTATCTTTGTGACTGTGAGAAAATCAAGCGACTTCTTAAGTAAGAACCCAAAGACATGAATCCTAAGGTATAAACCCAAAGGCATAAACCATAAGGTAAAATTGGGTAGATTTCTTGTTATGGGATCAACTGTACCCCTGCCAAATTCGTATGTTGAAACCCTAACCCCAGGACCTCACAATGTGACTGTATTTGAGATAGAGCCTTTAAAAGAGTTAATTAACGTTAAATGAGGTCATTAGGATAGGCAAAGTCCTAATCCAGTATGAATGGTCTTTCTATAAAAAATAAAAAAGGAGATTAGGACACAGAAAATACAGACAGGAGGATGACCATGTGAGGACGAAGCAAGAATGTGGCCATCTATACCCCAAGGAGAGAGACCGCAGAGGAAACCAAACCTGCCGACACCTTGATCTTAGACTTCTAGCCTCCAGAACTGTGAGAATGTAAATTTCTGTTCATTAAGCCAAACCTGTTGTTCAAGAATCAACTGTACATGAATTTCAAATCAGGCAAAACTCATTTATCGTGATTGTCACAATGGGGGTTATTCTTGGAGGAGGTATTGATTGGAAGGGTAACGCATGGGCTGCTGGAAATGTTCTATAATATGAGTGAGTCATGGTTTAAGAAGTGTATATTTGTAAAAGTTCAAGTTATACACAACATTTGTGCATTTTACTCTATGTAAGTTATTTCTAGAAATAAATGTTTAAAAAAATCCAGAGTGGTAATGGCACAGTAATAGAGAACTAGGACAGTGGAGCAGTATATATAATGAAGGTGACATTTCTGCACTTTTCTGCCTCTGAATGTGGCTATCTGGCTGTGATTCTTGGCACTGCGGTGGCCACCTTGAGACCTCAGTGGGAACCAGTCTACAAGGACAAGCAAGCAGGCCAAGGATGGCAGGAGAAAGGAGTGACAGAACCTGGGTGCACCCAGAATTAACCATCTCTGGGAAGTCTTACCTCTGAGTTTCTTGTTGAGATTTTTTTTAAAAAAAATCACCTTTTAATTGGATTTTAAAAGCATCTTAACTGAGAACTAGTTCGGGAGTCACTGAAATAATTCCTATGAGAGCTCTACCTCCCCAGGCCCAATAGCTTAAGTGCAGCAGCTCCCCAGGGAGCCACAGACTTTCAGAATAAACTCTTAGAAGCGCACTCCCACTATGGGGCTAGAGTCTTTGGAACAAGGGGCATCACTCACCTGTCCGGTCATCATCCTTTTTCATGGGCAGTACAGTATAATCCGGGTGCTCATCGGAGGCCTCAAACACCCATGACTTGGGCTGCAGCATGGATTGGGGCCCTTTCCGTGGACTCCCCCTGTGTTCAACCCAATCCCCTGACCCGTCACGGAGCTGAACCTGCTGTAGGTATGGGATCCGGAAAATCTTGTTTTGGTCCAGGCTTAACTTCTTCAGTCTTCAGTTAAGGAAAGTGAATACAAAATCACAGCAATGATTATACCTCAGGGACACTTATCAAGCAACTTTAGGGAAGGAACATGGAATCGGTCTTGGACACTTACTCCTCTTGTGTGACCTTGAGCCAGTGACCTATCCTCTCTGGGCCTCAATATCCTATCTCAAAAATGGGGATAATTATTTATTAACCTTTCAAGGATCTTGTGAAGATTAAATGAGACAATGTAAATGGCTTGGCACAAAGTACTGTTCAATAAATGGTAGCTGAATCTAAAGTAAATTTTCCAGGGATCTAAAGCTTAACTATTTAAAGATTTTATTTATTTATTTTTAGAGAGAGGGGAAGGGAGGGAGAAAGAGAGGAAGACAAACATCAATGTGTGGTTGCCTCTTAAGAGCCCCCTACTGGGGACCTGGCCCGCAACCCAGGCATGTGCCCTGACTGGGAATCGAACTAGCAACTCTTTGATTCACAGGCCAGCACTCAATCCACTGAACCACACCAGCCAGGGCTAAAGTTTATCCATTTAAGTGACAGCATTTTTATTACCTCAACCCAAACTCAGTTAAACTTATCTTTCTGATTCTCTTTTTTCTTGTTTTCCTCCCTCCTCTCTCAGGGTCAGGATCCTGTCTCTGGTAATATCTCCTCCTATCCTGGCTTTTTCTTTGCGGCTTCTAATCCAGTCACATGACCAAAAATGTCTTTACTCATGCCCTACTTTTATGGCTGAGCTAAAGCTCAGAGGGGAGTAAGGGCTTACACATGGCCACATAGCAGATATAAGTGGCGGAGCCAGAATTTAAACCCAGGTCTTTTGGCTTCCAGAGCAGAACTCATTGTGTAAGCTAGGCTGGGGGTTATACAGAGCCCTGCAGAGAGAGGCTTGTGGTTTTACCTGCTAAGCCCGGCCAGGCTGGCAAAGCAACTGGGGTTGGAGAGTTTGTTGTCATCCAGCATCAATGTCTCCAGTGCTGGGAACCTCAGGATGTACTTCTTGCTTGTCAGTGATGTTACAGATGCCTCCCTATGAGTGCAAAGATCTTGCTTAATGAGCAGAGGACAAACTCCAACCCCAGGAAGAATGGGATCATAAGGAATCAATCAAGAGGTCTGATCAGCTTGGAAACTTCTCTAGAGGCCAAGAAGGGTCCCTTAGAGAAGGACCAGAACATGTAGTTTCCTCCCCCAACCCTATTCATACATACAGTCCTCTGTATGGAGAAAGGTTCCACGCATTCACTGATGGGCTCTGTGAGACTGGGTTGGGGCAGAATGTGGGGTTAGGCACCTGTAGCGCTCATGGAAAATACCAGAGCGAATGAGGCATGACCAAGTTGGGGGAAGCATTCTGCAGGGAGAACCCTGCCGATTTTGGGGTCAGGGAAGACAACCAGTTATGCTGTATCACCCCAAGGATGGTTACTCTTGCTCTCAAGAGAGCACCAGGAGACCATGCCCTTGGCACAATGGACTGCAGCTTTGCCACTGAGCGAGGCGGGCAAGGCAGGTGGGCTGCAGTGAGGCTAGAGTGACTTCAAAAAATGCACATATCAGTAAAAAATTGAGAAGTCTCTTTTTCAACTTAAATTCTTTGAGGATTCCCAGAAATACCCAAGAGTGAGATTTACTAGGCTGAGGTCCTGAGTCACACAGGTGAGGCTGGAGGAAGTGGCATTTTAGGTATTACCATTAATGTGACCTCATTTTTGTCCCCAGGTGGATGAAGCCCAGGTAATTCTTCTTAAGTACACACAGGCAGATGACTCAAATCGTGTTTTCATTCCAACTCCTCCATACACTCAAATAAACATGCACACATTTAGTCACAAATGCATATGCAGGGTCCAGCAGAAGTAAGGCCTGCTTGAGTGTGGTTGGTAGGGTAATAGTATGGATATAATAATTTATAGTTTTAACTTGTACATTTCACCTAAAATGTCATATGGTGTGCTTGAGTGTGATACTGTTGTTGCAGAATTACATGCTTATGATTTTGTAATAAAAGATTTTATAATAAAAAGGGGGCATTATTTGTGCCAGACCCTGTATATACATATAAACCACAAAAAACAAGAGGAAAAGAAAGTAATGTTTCTTTAGAGCTTACTGCATGCCTGGCATTGTGTTAGGTTTCATCTTAGAACAGCACTATGGAGGACAGGTGTTTCCTTTCCAGGTGAGGAAACTCAAACTCTGAGTGACTTGCCCAAAAGTCCCATAGCTAGAAAGTGGAAGAGCTCAAACTTGACTGGAAACCCCAGGCCCTTCCTTGGAGGACCCACCTCTCACATCACATCTTCAAGCCCCACGTGGATTAAAGGGTGGGGAGATGGAAGGGTAGCTGTTCCCTGGGCCAGAGAGAGCTTGACAAAGGTAGGCAATGAGTTCAAAAGTTGAAAAGAACTCTAACAGTATACGTATAAAGTCAGATATATCTTGAAGGTGAATTCAAAGAGCGTATAACAGTCATTCACTCATCCATTGATACAGATTTCTTTAGCAGACATTTATGGAGCTGGGTACTGGGAATACGAAGAGAACAAAAAGCAAGTCGCTTAGTCTTGTGGAGGAGGTGGGCACATTGCATGTAGTGGGTGCAACACTTGTGGGAATCACTGACTCTGGCGAGGAGGAGCCTGGGAAGGCGATGTTTAACTAAACCATGAAGCATGGAAAAGGAATATACTGTGCTCTTAGTCACAGTGAGAGAGGGAGAGTCAGGGAGAAAAGCAATCTCTTTGTGGCTGAACTGTAACATATTTAGAAGCCCTGGACAGTCATGTTTCCCATCACGGGGTCCAGGGAGACAGAGGCAACTCACCTGTACAGGAAAACAAGGTGAGTCACAGAGAGGAGCAGATGCGAAAGCTGAGACAGAACTTCCTGGCTCTTCCAGTAATGCCTAGGACGTGTCCCTAAGGCATGGCTGTGAGATTCCCCAGTGTTCTAGTTATAACCATGACCGCTCTACTAAAAAAGGAGGTTTCAGAAAGAGCCCTGGCAGTATAAAGTGGAATGGGCTTGATGTCCAAGGACCAGAGACACTCAACAGAGAAGGAAAGAAGCCTTTTTTCATGGTCATCAAGGTCACAGATGACCTTTCTTCTTGAAAGGACCAATTTTCATAGACTGAATTTTTAGTTTCTACCTGAGAGCAATTACAGGTGGGTGCACAGCAGCTCTGTTGATTTATAATTAGTTGGCCAACCTTTATTCTATTCCAGTGAGATATCAAACAGCTAAGATACAAGCCTTTAAAAAAATTCCTCTTATACCGCATAATAGAGAAGCTGGCTCTGTCCTGTCTCTGTGACAAGTTACAGTGCTTTGCCTCTTAAAATTTTCATCCTAATTATAACATAGAAACATAGAAAAGTTTCATTTTGTCCCTAAAACAGAGGTCTTAAAATACAGGAAGCAGTCAATAGGTGGGTGAGGAGGACAGGATGCAAGATTTCAGAGGAGACTATCAGGCTCTCCCACTAAGCCCTTCCCATGGCAATTTTGGGAGAAGAGCTCTTAGAAGTGGCGGGAGAGGCCAAGGTTTCCAGCTGTTCAGAATGGTGCTACTTTTTATTATACTTTCTCTTGGCCAAGGGAATTATTACCATTTAAAATCTGATGGATTCAACTTCTTTAGAAGCTAAGAGTATTCCCCCAGGGCTGAATTCAGGAATCGGGCATTCATGCGTCATTTTAGAAGAAGCATGGGAATGGGGATCAGGAGCCCTGGGCTCTGGTTCTGCGGCTGCTGCTGCCTTGCCTGCATTTATTTCCAGCTAGTATTGAGCGTCTCTGGGCCTGGTCAGTTCCTTTATCTCTAAGGTGAAGGGGGGATTTCCTTTATTTTACATTTTAAGACTTTGGTTAACAATTTTGCTCAACAGACTGAACCAAGGGCTGCAGCAAACAAGATAAAATTTAGCAAGCTCAAAGGTCTGTTCAAATGTGGTAAGATACAGAAAACCCACCAGGCCAAACACAGGATGAGGGAGACATCAATGAACAGTTTGCTTGTATAAAATAGGACTTATGATATGGCTGCTAAAAAGCTAGTGCTTTTTTTAGGTGGCGTTAGGAACACAGGGATTAGAAAAAAGGAGGTAACAATCCCTCTCTGCCCTGTGCTGATCAAGGCAAAGACAGCCAACTTGTGTGGTTCAAGGGGAAAAGGGAATAGGCCTATTGGGAAAGCTCAAGTATCAGCAGTCAGTCAAAACAAGTATGAGAGCACTCTAAAGATGCAATAGGCCAAATATGATTCCCCTCACTCACCCAGACAGAGAATAGTGTGATCTATGGAGAAATGGAGATGCAAATAGTTCAGATGTATATCGTGAAATGAAAAAAGGTGAAGAGAAAGGACGGAGAAGTAGGCAGAGCCAGTTCATGAAAAGCCTCGGAATCAATGTTAATGGGAGTTTATCTTTAGCACACTGAGGAGCTGCTAAAGGACTTTAAGCAGGCAGGTGGTAGAATGACAAGTGCATTTCAGAAACACCACTTTGGCTGATGGTAAGGAGGATGAGTTGGGAAGAAACTGGAGACTGAGACCAAACAGGAGGATGACAGAAATGGGCAAGTTGGAGAAAAATTTAGGAAGTACAGTTCACAGCCTCTGATAACTGAATGGATATGTGAGGCAAGGGAGGGAAGAACTCAGGCCTATGCCCATGTTTCTAGCCTGGACAACAGCACAGTGAGTGGAGAGCAGTTTCCACCACTGAAGCCCACATGGCATGGGCACGTGTGTGACGAGTTTGGTATGATATGCAGGAAATATGAGTTCATAGCTCAGAAGATAGAAGTGAGGCTGTGGAGTCACTACGTGGCCCTTCCCCCTCTGGTGATGAGGGCTAGTCAGAGGGTCTCTGGCCAGAGGGAATGTGTGTTGTTTTGGGAATGGATTGTACCTAATTCCTTCCTTATCTCCTTTTGGGAGCGCCTTCTAGTCCTGTGACTGCTCCTTGACCTTTTCCTTCTGCACGTCCACACTGATGTAATGTAGCTCCGGGCCTCATGAAGGTTGTGCAACCTGGACTTGTGCTGCCTTTGTCTGGAACCCCTTACAAAGAGCCTCAGACTTGGGGGGTGCGGTCTCTCTCACACTGACCCTCCGCCACCATTGGTGCACTCCCCTGTAATGTGAGGAATAAACGGCATGTCCATATCTGCTAGTCCTCCAGTTTTTTTTCAGAATATCATGAACACTTAAGCAGCTCCCTGGTTTGGGGGTCCTGTGCTACAGAGGCAGACTTTGGACAAGATGAGACCACTAAGAGAGTATAAAGATGAAGAAAAACAGTGGGTTGAAAGAGGACAACTGAGAATTACCAACATTTAAGAGGTTGGAAGAGGATGAGGAATCCATAGAGCATATGGAGTGTGGACAGATGAATGGGAAGAAAATGACAACAATATTTGTCTGGAGCCTCATAGTCTTCAAAGCACAATTATTTCAAATGATAATCTGGATGAAAGGAAGAGTGCATTTATTCTCCTTATCTTATATGCAAAGGAAATAGAAGCGTAGTGTTGTAGAGACTTGCCTTACTTTATGTGACAAGACTGTCCTCCAGTATGATATGCAGAAAACATGGGTTGATAGCTCAGAACATAGTAGTGAGGCGGTGTTACATAAAGTCTTGAAAACAACTGGAATAATGAATAAAGTAAAAAACAAACAAAAAAAATCTATCATTTAAAAACATGTAGGAGATGTGAAGAGAGTAAGGGGAGTATTATGCCAAAACCTAAAAATCCAGAGACAGGAACTAAGCACAAGAAGTCATTTTTGCTTTGAGGACATTTGCTTGTTGAAACAGAAGGAGGGCCCTGTAACTGGAGACCCCCTATATGAATCTGGGATCCTAGAGGGATGTACCTCAGGAGAGAGTGAGCCAGACCTACACCCATTTCCTCATCCCAGGGCCAGGGGAAGATGGCCTTGGAGTGAACAGCAAAGGGGAGTGGGGAGCGCAGACACTCCCCCTTTTGAGTGAGGGTACTCTCACAAAACTGTAGTCCAACTATGTATCATCAGAATGATTCAGAAAATATCCAGCTAGTTTAGTTTAGTGTAAACTGGTTCCATACTTGAGACCCCTAGGAACCGGGCCAAAATAAATGGAAATTTTCATGGCACTGTAGACTAAATAATGTGGGCCAACCTTCCTGAGAATAAATTAGAAAATACAGTATATATATATTCTCTATATATAAAACAATCTTCTTTAAGGCTTCTGGGAACTAACCAGCTGTGAAAAATTGCAATGGTGGTGGTGGAGGGGTCACTATCTGGAAGAGATGCAAAGGACTTCATATATATGAGGGTCAAATATGAGGGTAATATTTGGGGCCATTTTTCCACTAGGGCTGTGTGGCAGAGAGGCTGAGAAAGCCTCACAACCAGAATGAAGGCTCTAGGAATTAATGAATGAAAATGAGAGTAGCTCCTCTTACCAGTGTACCTAACAACCTACTGGCAGCATTTCTGCTTCTCATCCTTCAACGCTGAGCTCTGCTGAGTCAGAGGTCTTAGTTTCCTAAGTAGGAACACTTTTACAAAGGACAAAAGGAATAGTTTTACTTAACTGGAGGTTGAGTTTGCTACTGGCCACTTGGGTTCCTTAAGTTTACCCGTATTGGCTGGGTGACTGACACTGCTGTTATACCCTGAGGGCAAAAAGGAATATGATTGGAATTCAGAGAATTATCTGGCATTCTTCGCAGAAGGGCCAGGTTCAGTCATCAAAGTTAATGGAATTTTTGCAAGATAAAAGAGTTCTAGAGAGGGATGGTGGTGTTGGTTGCACAACAATGTGAATATGCTTAAGCCATTGACGTGTATACTTAAAAATGTTGAGATGAAAAGGCTTCTGATAAGGAAAGAGGAGGGTCTGAGGCCCTTAGGATATATACAGAATCTAGGTAAGAAGAGAATGTAATGGTGATCTCTGGAGCCAGATGGGTTTTGTTCAAATCCTGGCTCTGCCCCTCACTAGGTCTGTAACCCTGTGAGAGTTATTTAACCTAGCTGTGTTTCAATTTCCTGGTCTGTAAGATAGGAATAATATGATACCTACCTTGTAGGGTTGTTGCGAGGATTAAATGAGTTAGTATGTGTTAAGTGCTTGGTACAGTGTTGGGCACACAGTGAGCACTACATATGTGTTATTATTACTAAGAGAGGAAGAACCAGTACATTCTGGCCAGGAGGCATGGCCTCAGCAAATGTGCAGAATGGGAATATGTAAAGAGGGTTCATGAAGAATGTTTGGCGAGAGTAATATCCACAATTTACCAGTCACCCATAAGAGGCAGGTAAAGCAACTTGCCAGACACCTGTGTCTCTCCTAATAGCACAGAGGAGTAGGGGAAACCCATCTGAAGCCTTCCTATCCTTCAGGGCTCTGCTCCCATGGTTGCCTTTACTGGGAGCTTTGGTCAATGGCATTCTCCCTGCTTTGAGCACTCACAGCCTGTCCTTAATGCACTTCTGAACTGCTTTGGACTATTTCCTTGGGTGCTTACATCCAGATGAAGGTTCACAAGGGAACGCATGGGATGGACTCTGGAATGTAGAACTTACTGCTCTGTGACAGCCAAATTCGGTGGCAGGGAGGTGAGCCCGTTGCCTGTGAGGAGCAGGACACGGAGGTGTGGCAGAATCCCCAGCTCACAGATGGCCTCCGCAGTCAGGCTGTTGAAGGAAAGGTCCAGGAACTATGGTGCAAAGATATTGTACAAGTTGGGGGAACATAAGTACTATGCGTGACAATGATTTTCACTCATGAGGTGAGAGGTGGCAGGAGATTTTTTTTTTTTTTTTTTTAACCTTCTGGGCAGCCAATCACCCGCAGGCTAAAACAAACCTGACTCTCTGTACTAACATTTAAGGTCTACTAGAGTCAGTTCCCAACCTATTTGCCAACCTAGGCTCCTATTGCAAATCTTTATCCTTTAGTGCTGGCCAAAGTGACTCTTCTCCATTCCTTGCCTCACCTTACCTAGAGATTTTTGCTTGAGTTTTTCATTCAACCAGGAATGCCTTTCTCCATGTATCTCCATCTAAGCCCCCAAAGACCAGCGCAAAAGCTGCCTCCTTACAAAAACTTTACTAATTCTCCAGCTAGATGGAATTTCTCCTCTGACTTTGAGTGCTTTATCTAGACTGCTCTGGGGGTCTTTCTCCCAGTAGGCCAGTTATCTGCAATAGCTGGATACATGTCTGAGGAATAAGGATGGTGGCACATGGATGTGCCTCGCAGAGTCCTGGCAGACAGTGGTGGATGAGACCATCAACCCTCTGAGGTCAAGGGCCATGCCACGATGTCTCTGTATCCTTGTAACCTAGCTTAGGACCTGGTACTAAGTAAGTGCACGTGAAAAATCAGCTGAAATTAAATGGCTTATGAGGATAATGACCCAACCTCTCACCCCATCATAAAAAAAAAAAGTCTATCAGAGAAGTGACTTGGGTCAGAGACCAGTCAGGAAACTGAGTTTTTCTCTACAAAGAAAAGGGCAATTGAGATCAACGAAATGGGCACAGTCTTCGTTTACTCTCTTCTGAGCCTCCCTAAACACACACTTTAGCTCTTATGTACAAGTCCACTCCCTTCCCTTCCTCTCCACCTACACACATCCATTGTAGCCTGTTGAACAGGGCCAGTTTCAGCATCTTATGCAACTGGTACAGGAGCAAGGTATTTGGTCAGCCACTTAAGTATAGTACATGGCCAGACATATACAACTGACTGCAGGTAACTGCCAGATGAGGACTGGGTTTGGTCTGATTCCACTGTAGTAATTAATTGATGGGCTCTATAGACCTGGATTTAAGTCCTGGCTAATAGTGTGACCTTGGGCCAATTATCTAACCTGAGCTTCCTTATGTATGAAGTGGAAATACTAATGGGCTCTTATGAGGAATTAGGTAGGTAAAGCCTTTACCATGGAGTCTAGTACACAGTAAGTGCATAGCTGATGTTGGCTGTCATCAGCATTACCATCCCTTCATTCTTGGCCCCCCTATACTGAAGGTTTACTTTGAGCCAGTTCCTGCCCTCTGTAAGTTCACCGCCTAGTCAGGCAACTAGATACATAAGTGTCTGTCAAGCAGCAATGCTGCTGGGATAGATATTGAGCACAGACCAATGGAAGCACAAAAGGAGGAATGGTCAGCTCTACCAGGGGTCCAGACAAGCTTCACAGAGCAGCTGTCCTCAGAGACTAGTCTGTATTCACCAAACTGTTAAGAGCGAAAAAACATGCAGTGCAGCAAGTGGTATGTATAGAAGCCAGGAGGCAGCCTTGCTTGTTCTGGTAACTATAAATGGTCTGGCTATAATTAGAGTCCATGTTATTAAGAGAAAGCTTGATAAGACTGGATAGGCCATGAGAGGTGCCAAGCACCTAATGAGTACCAAGTTTATGCTGCCAGCAGCAGCACATTTCAAGGTTTGAGAGTTCACACAAAGGGTGATCCTACTTGGCAGGGGCAAAGACAGAAGCAAGCCTTCACAGAGGAAGACCTGGAAAGCTGGCTTGGATAAACATGGGAAAAGGTGGGGAAAATTCTCTCCCTCATGCCTATATGTGGGTAGTCAACAGAAAATGGATCCTACCTCCTTTATGTCTCTTATACTTGTTCCCTCCAACCCATTTTTCATACAGCAGCCACAGTGAATTTTTCTACAGTACAGTTCCCTATTACTCCTCTGTTTCAAAGCCTTCAATGGATCCCTATTGTCCATAGGATAAGTCTCAAACACCTTAGCAAGACTTCTAAGGTTCTCCATGGTTTCTCTTCTGTTACCTCTCCAGGCTCATCTATCTACGCTCAACTGTATTTCACTCTCCATTCCAACCTTACTGAGCCGCTTCACCACTGACCTAGCTCAGGTGATGGCAAACGAAGGTCTGTGAGCCAAATCCAACCTGCCGCATATTTTGTTTGACCTGTGAGCTAAGAATACTTTTTATATTTTTAAATCGTTGGAAAAAATCAAAACAAGAATAACATTGTATGAAAATTATGTGAAATTAAAATTTCAGCATCATGAAGTTTTAGTGGAACACAGCCCTGCTCCTTTGTTTACATATTGGCTACGGTTGCTTTCCTTCTACAACAGCAGAGTTGACTAGGTATGACCATATGGACCAGAAAGCCTAAAATATTTCCTGTCCGGCCTCCTACAGAAAAAGTTTGCTGACCCCTATTCTAGCTGCTTTAGCTCTTTAATGTTGGGTCCAAATTTGCTTTTCATAGAATTAAGGGCAGCTCGAAGACATGAATAGTCTTAGAATCACAGATCACAGAATTTCAAAGCTGGCCCAGGAGATACAGAGGGGGAAACTTAAGTCCCAGAGAGACTAAGTTATTTGGCTAAGGAGGTACACCAAAGTAGTGTCAGGACCAAGACTAGAAACAAGTTCTCCTGACTTTCAGGACAGGGCTCCAGCTGACCCTTTTTCATACCTGGTTGCAGAGAATCAAATCATGGCAAAAATCAGTTTATCTAAATTGGCTCCTACAGAAATCTACTCTGGGTGGCAGCTTTTCCAGAAAACAAGGGCAGAAGATTCCTAACCTGGCTACTGCATCTGCTGAGTCACATCAAAATTTTATCACTAATCAAAATATTCATTACTGTGAGCTGCAAATTCAGGACATGTGATAGGTTTATTCTTTTTCTTAGCAAGCCCTTGCAAATCAGAGAGAGATGAAAACAAATGACTGGCCAAAACGTTTGGTCTTATTTATGTTCTACATTATGACTTTGGTCTGCTCGCTCGCTCTCTCTTTTTATTCTCACTCAAAAACATTTTTTTCCATTGCTTTTTGAGAGAGAAGAAGGGAGAGACAGAAATTTTAATGGAAAAGAGAAGCACCGATTGTTGCCTTTTGTATGCAACCTGACCCAGGATCAAGGATAGAACCTGCAATCTAGGTATGTGCTCTGACTGGGAATCAGACCCACATCTTTTGGTTATGGAACGATGCTCCAACCAGCTGAGCCATACCAGCTAGGGCGGGTTTGCTCTATTATTGGGTAAGGCTTAGTCTGCTGGATAAATACTATTCATCACAAGCTATCAAATTATGAAGTAGGGCCTCCAAGAAGTCAATTATGATCAGCCCTAGATCCGATCTAGTCATCTGTGGGGTAAGAACCTACAGTCATGTCCCCTCCCCACAGCACACTGGCACTTGAAATAGGGATTTAAAATAATAGGTGTAAGGAAGACAAGATGCCTGGCACCAGGCATGACACAAAGGAGCTCAATAACTACTTTTTAAAAAGTAAAGTAATGAATAAATGGAAGGTCGTAAAAAGCTCCCAGATCTGTAGGTCAGGGTAATGACTCCCTGATTCTCTAAAGCATCTGGAACCTGTTTCCCACTATCTATACTAAAATCTAGTATAAAGTGTTTTTAACATAGCACAAAATTGCATCAGTTGTTGTAAATTTACTCTCTCTGTTTTATTGGACTTTTAGGAGGTATACTTCCTGGACAACTCTGAGGACCACTCCTGTTCCAAATCATAGAAATCCCTATTATCCTCAATATAACTTGAAAACACAGAGAGAAGATCCCATTACATTCAGTATAGCATACTTTAAGAATGCAAGGATAGCCCTGGCCAGAGTGGCTCAGTTGGCTGGAGCATCACCCCATAGACTGAAAGGTCATGGATTTGATTTCTGGTCAGGGCACATGCCTAGGTTGTGGGTTTGGTCCCTGGTTGAGGTATATGAGAGGGGCAAGTGATTAATGTTTCCCTCTCACATCGATGTTTCTCTCCCTCCCTCCCTCCCTCCCTTCCCCTGTCTAAGTACGTTCTCGGGTGAGGATGTAAAAATATTTTTTAAAAATGCAAGGATACATAATCCATTATAGGAGGATTGCCTTCTATTAGCTTGCCTTTCCAAGCAGTTAAATTTTTTTTCTTTTCAATCTTTACCCAAGAATATATTTCATTGATTCTAGAGAGGAAGGGAGAGAGGGGGAGGAGAAGAGGGAGAGAGAGAGAAAGAAACATCGGTGTGAGAAACATCAATTGTTTGCCTTCTCGCATGTACCCTGACTGGGGATTGAACCCACAACCTAGGTATGTGCCCTGACCGGTAATCAAACCCATAACATTTTGGTGTATGGAAAAATGCTACAACTGAGCCACCTGACCAGGGCCCAAGCAAGCAGTTAAAACTTCTTAAAACTTTGGCATATACAGGACATCAAATTTCTAAAAAATTAACTCTGTGTAAGGCCTCTCTCTCTCTCTCTCTCTGGCAAGACCATATTAAGTGGGGCTTTTGTGAAGAATGGCTGACTACTAATGTTTGCAGATTAAATAATCTAAGTTACCAACTCTTTGGGGTCAACCCCAAGGTTTGAATCAAAAACACTTCTGCTATAATGCCAATGTGTGGGGAAGAGATTGCTCAGCAAGGAAGCCTGGTCCAATGCCCAAACCCACACCTGGCTCCAGCTGTGTTGTCCTCTACTCTGCAAGTAAACAGTGACTCTCAGGTAGTGACAGAAGCTCTGTTTCTTTATGGAAAATGGCACTAAAGTTTTCATGGAAGTTGAAGAGATGAATAACTCGAAGTACAAGAGCATGTGTAAAAAAATACATAACTACAGGAAATTTAATTTAGAAGAAAGCCAAGAATGTAAACTAATTTTTCTGTATTTTTGAATCAGGGGTTTAGAGAACAGCTGCAGATGTTCAAATGTCAAGAGTCTGCTATAGAACTCACAGGAGTCCTATTTTATTTCACACTCATCTCTGGGCCTATGGTCTAGGCCTTACCCTGCTTTATCCAAGCCCGATGCAACCAATCTGGCTCACTCAGACCAGGATGGGTCTCAGGAATCCGTCCATAATGTCTAGTTCCGCTGGTCCAATCTGCTGTACCTAGTGCTTAACTTCCATGGTTCCTCAGCTCCCACCTGAACCAGGTCTCCCCTCAAGCTCTCCTTCCTTTAATACTCTGTTTAAATTCACTTTTCTACATAGACTCCTTTGGACATGAACTTTGGCATTTTTTTCCCTGGACCATGCACTAGTAGGACAAAAGCCCCCTTTTCAGGCCCTCTTTGCCAAAACTAGCTGGGCCCCATAAGGCATGACTAACCCTAATTGTTTTCTGAACCTTTATCCTCAGGACTAGAAAATTACTGGAAGTGCCCTGAAGGCACAGAGGCTCCAGGAACTTACGAAACAGGACATGCCAGATTCAAAACATGCCAGACCGCAAGGCCTGGACCCTGCCCCCAAAGATAACATCGAGACAGGCCGAGGCCTGTACGAGGCCAGCTGAAACATCCTGCTCTACAACCACCCCAATCACCTAATCAAAGCGCAAAGCCCCCAACCCTCAGGCTGGTGCATTTCTCTCTACCGGCCCTTCCCTCTCTTGGGAAAGTAAAAATAAAAATTTTTTTTTGTTTGTTTTCTGGGCTTTCTTCTCTGAATTCTTTCACATCCTGCATTGCTGCCCACCCTAGCATGCACCACGGCCATAGGAATAACTTATTCTCCTCTGTTTGCCACTGCGGCCACCACCGCTGCCACCGCTGACCCCATTACTCCCATAACTACCCCCAACCCTGCCACCCTCCCCAGAGGACTGCCTTGAAGCAGGGGTCTGGCTGTAAAGACCCTGAGAGCCCCTTTTCAACAGTTATAAGCAGTAGAGAGTGACCTCTACACCCATTCTTTACAGGGAAGCAGGTGGGCACCAAAAACTCCCTACCTCCAACTTACTTCCAACAACTTAAAATCTCCACATTTCACATAGACTGTTTTGATGCCATTTAATGCAAGCTCCAGTTCTTTTAAGGCTGGAAACGTGTGAAATACTTCTATAGGGGGAGGAGAAAGAGAATCTTCAGCTTGTGACTTAAAAGAAAGATATTAACAGTGGTCATTTACTGAGTTCCCACTGGGTTAGGCCAGGCACTGTGTGAGGTGCTTTACATATATGACCTCTAAATCTCTAACAATCCTGAAAAATAGAAAGTACTACTTCCATTCTACTGCTGAGGAATCTGAGGTGCAGCTAGGCTGAGTGATTTGCTAAAATAGAATTTTTGGTAAGTGAAGGGCTGGAAAATTGGGTCTAAGCCTATCTAACTCTGAAGCCCATTTAAAACATTATAATAAAATATAAAATAAAAAGTCAAACAGGTCGCCTAAAGAAGTAATTTTAAAAAAAGCAGAAAAATAATAATTCCCTTTAATCTCAATACCCAGAAATAACTATTGAAAGTTTCATGTATTTCCAGACTTTTTCTCATGTGTGTACTGAAATACACTTCACAGAAATGGAATCATACCATTCACATTGCAATGTGACTTGCCTTTGTCGCTTAACACAATGCCTTAAGAATTATTCCATGTCAAAACATATAGATCTGTAAAATGTCTGAATTATGTTCTACAACATAGACATACCCTAGTTTATTTAACCATTTACCTATTTTGATAGCTTTTTGGCTATCTGGATAAAAGGTAAAAACTCTTTTCCCCTTCTACGTGACAACTGGACCTTGGGTTAACTTTCTAGCCCTGTCCTCTGGTAACCTGAAACAAATGGTATGATAACTATGTTACTAGGCAAGATTGCTATGGAAAAAAATCACATCTGGATAAGGAAAAAGTATAAATGAAGAATAAATATCTGAAGGAGGCACCATAACTTTGAGCTTCTCTGTATGTATATTCCCTGTATGTTCCTATAATTGTCCTTTGCAGGAATTCTATGAGCTATGTCTATGGAGTGTCACAATGGCTATTTGTTCCCGTGGGGAATGACATTTCTAAGCCAGAGTGGCTCCTGCATCAACCCAATGAGAGTCTCAGAGTCTTGGACTTGGGCTGGAGGGCATGGAGACTGGCTCATGGATTGTTACATGGACTGCTACACAAAATGCTATGAGGACTTCATGGAAGAGGAACTGCGCCCCTATCTGGCATACTGTGTGAAATTACTCAGAGCCTTCTAAGTGAACCCGGTGTCAGGTGCGGCTTATGGTGATCTTTTAAGTCCATTGTCCTCAGGACCACCACTGAGTCTATTTATTTTCTTAAAGATTTTAATTATTTATCTTTTTTTAAATTGTTCAAATACGTTTATCTCCATTTTCCCACCACCACTTTCCCCTGCCCCACCCACCTCCACCTCCCACCCACAATCCTTCCCTACTTTGGCTTTGTCCATGGGTCCTTTATACGTGTTCCTTGATTTGACCCTTCCCCTTCTTTTCCCGTTACCCCCCTCCCTCCTTCCCTCTCGTTACTGTCAGTTTCTTTTTTCTTTCAGTGTTGCTGGTTTTATTTTTCTTGCTTGTTTGTTTTGTTGATTAGGTTCCACTTATAAGTCACAACACCATGAAAGTCCTAGAGGAGAACACAGGCAGATCATATGCCATTTGTCTTTCACCCCTGGCTTATTTCGCTTAGCATAATGCTCTCCAGTTCCATCCATACTGTCACAAAGGGTAGTTTCGTTTTGTTTGTTTCTTTCTTTCCTTCTTCCTTCCTTTCTTTCTTTTTCTCTCTTTCTTCCTTCCTCTTTCTTTCCTTCTTCCTTCCTTTCTTTCTTTTTTTCTTTCTTTCTTTCCTTCTTTCTTTCTTTTCTTTCTTTCTCTTTCTTTCTTTTCTTTTCTCTCATTCTTCTGTATAGTATTCCACTGTGAAAATGTACCATAGTTTTTTGATTCACTCATTTACTGATGGGCACTTAGGTTGCTTCCAGCACTTAGATATTTTAAATTGTGCTGCTATGACCTTTGGGGTGCATAGGTTCTTAGGAATTGGTGTTTTGGGATTCTTAGGGTATAATCCCAGCAGTGGAATTGCTAGGTCAAAAGGCAGTTCCATTTTTAGCTTTTTGAGGAAATTCCAAACTGTTTTCCACAGTGGCTGCACCAGTCTGCATTCCCACCAACAGTGTACTAGGGTTCCCTTTTCTCCACAGCCTCGCCAGCACTTGTTGTTTGTTGATTTGTTTATGATGGCCATTCTGACCTGTGTGAAGTGGTATCTCATTGTGGTTTTAATTTGCATTTCTCTGATGGCTAGTGATGCTGAGCATCCTTTCATATGTCTCTGGGCCTTGTTTATGAATTCCTTGGAGAAGTGTCTGTTCAGGTCCTTTGCCCATTTTTATAATTGGATTGTTTGTCTTCCTGGAGTGGAGTTGTGTGAGTTCTTTATATATTTTGGAGATCAAACCCTTGTCCAAAGTATCATTGGCAAATATATTTTCCCATACAGTTCGTTCCCTTTTCATTTTGCTGATGTTTTCTTTAGCTGTGCAGAAGCTTTTTATTTGGATGAAGTCCTATTTGTTTATTCTTTCCTTTATGTCTCTTGTTCTATCAGTGAAAATATTGCTGCGTGGAATATCTGAGAGTTTCTTGCCTGTGTTCTCCTCTAGGACTTTCATGGTGTTGTAACTTATATTTAAGTGTTTTATCCTTCTTGAGTTTATTTTTATGTATGGTGTAAGTTGCTGGTTGAATTTCAATTTTTTGCATGTAGCCATCCAGCTCTCCCAACACCTTTTGTTGAAGAGGCTATTTTTACTCCATTTTAAACTTCTGTCCCCTTTGTCGAATATTAATTGACCACAGAGACATAGGTTTACTTCTGGGCTCTCTATTCTGTTCCATTGATCTATGTGTCTGTTCTTATGCCAGTACCAGACTGCACCATAAACGACCCCAAATAGTTGCAGCAATTTTGAGAAAGAAGAACAAAGTAGGAGGGATCACAATACCTGATATCAAATTATTTATTTATTTTTAGAGAGAGTGGAAGGGAGGGAGAAAGGGAGGGAAACACCCATGTGTGAGATATACAGTGATCAGTTGCCTCTTGCACGCCCCCAACTGGGCAGAGGCTCTCTATTTAAAAGCTGTCCAAGGCTCACCTTTGCCTGCAGGATTAAGTCCAAGTCATTCAGGGTCCTTGATAATCTAGTCCCTATCAAGCATTTTAGTCTTCATTTTCTACCGCCTGCGTCCCTTGCAAACATATGAAGTTTCTCTGCTCTTTCAACCTGAAATACCTCCTTATCTTCTAATTTCTGAATGCGAGTCTCTCCTATTCATTTTTTTAGATCTCAGCATAGGTGCTCCTTTCCTCAGAAGTTTCTTCTGACACTCTGGCCCAGTTTAATGTCCTGCTTATATACTCGCATAGCATTTTGTGATTCACTCTAACATTGCACTTCCTGTATTCTGCTCTAGCCTGAGCCCATCTCTCCCACCAAACTATGGCTCACCAGAACAGGACCTGGATGCATTCATTTTTAAAAGCCAAGCATTCACATAGTCCTGTCACCCAGCAGGGGTCGCTGTGGATTTGCTGAATAAACAAGAAGGCTTTACTCTCCAGCTGGAGCTCTTACAGGTGGCTCAGAAACATCTGTATATACCCATCTCATCTGAGCCTACCAGGCATCTTGCCTTGGGGAGGATAAAAGCAAGGGAATTATCTCCATTTACAGATAGAGAAGCAGCAACTCACAGAGAAATGTTCTAAGTAGGTGGTGCCTGCTGTGGGTTAGAATCCAGGGCTGTGTGTTCCGCAAGCCCAGCTCACTGCACTCCAAAAAGAGATGCATGGACAGTCACGGATGGACTGACAGTCAGGTTCTAACATAAGTGACTGGCTATGCCAGCCAAGAGGCAGAACACAGCTTTCAGGAAGAAAGAGCTCACCTAGAGGCAGCAGGTTTTCTGAGGCATTGATGTAAATCACTGAATCAAAATGCTTGAAGTCCTTCTCGTTAACCTGTGCGAAGGCATTTTGAAAGAATATTCAGAAAAGCATGGTGAATGATACTCTGAAGATCCATGTAACACTATCCAGATTTGATAAATCTGAATATTTTGCTGTCCTTGCTTCAAGTTTCTTTAAAGAAAGAAAACATTTCAGAGAGCTGCTCCCCCCACCGTCTCCTTTCCCAATCACGTTCTCCAATCTCTCTCCCACAGATGACAGCTATCCTGAATCGGTGATTATCATTCCCATACTTGTATTACATATATGTGCCCATAAACCATATATAGTATTATTTACATGTTTATAAAACTATGTTAAATGCAGCATACTGTTGGTATTCTGTAACCTGCCTTTCTTACTCAAAACTGTTTTTGAGATTTAATTGTGTTGATACATGTAGCTCTAGTTCATTCACTTTACCTGTTGTATACTATTATACAAGCAATCTCTTTTCATATGCCATGGAAGGCCTACAGACCAAAAATATATGCCATAATATCATGTATTATGGTATATCCAAATACATTGGCTAATGGCTCTGAGATACCTATTAGTAAATGCAAAGAAAGAAACATGACTCATTACATGAGTCACAAGGTCTGTATGTTAAGAACAAACCAGCATCTTGGGAGAAACATTAAGTTTTGGCACTAAAACCTGACAAAAATTTCTCTTGCAGGTCCTTTTGATCGGAACTTTGTCACACAATAAATCATATGCCAACAAAATTCTATAGCCAATTCAAACCCACTTCCACAAGGCTATTTCCTTTAATTGACGTCACGTGGGACAATGAAAATATCAAATTTAGAGCAAAAGATTGTGTCTTAATGTTTTTTTTCCACCCAATGAGTCCTTGTCTGACCCACCCCATCCCTTGTGACCAGATTCCTATTCTTGAGAGACTCTGAGGGTCCAATGGACAAAGAGCCAGGAGCCACCTCAGGTCTGGCTCACCCCAACTACGCTTCTGCTGACTGGCCTTACCTGGGAGAACTTCAGGCCGCTCACATTAATGGTGCACAGGTCTGATGGCTTCCTCACACAGTGGTGCTTCAGCTGGAATACAGTGCAGAGAGTCAACTCTCAAGGCCCCAACAAAGTTTGTATAGTTGGCCAAGACAACAAACGACTCTCTGTTGAGGAAGGCAGCCTGGTATGGTGGAAAGAGCACGCGCTTTCAAGTCGCTCAGAACCGAGCTACCATCTCAGCTCTTCCATCTCTCAGTGTCCCATCTGTAAGATGGGGAGACTTAACACTGACTTTACGGAGTTCTCAGGAGGATTCCTTCCTCTCTGTTCTTTCTCTGTCTTTTTGGGGGTCCCACTTCCTCTACTTGGCTCTTTAAAAATTTGTATTTCTGGGGCTTTACCAATCTCATACATTTGTCATAGTTTGTTCATTCATTCATTCATTCATCCACTCATTCACCAAATATTTACTAAGCACTGTATTTGCCCATTCATTATGCTAACTGTATCAACAAACTTTCTCCTTATCCTAATTATTATTATCTCTTTTAAAATGAGAAAAATAAGGTTAAAATGCCTTCCCTAATGTCCTATAGCTAGTCAGTGAGAGATCTATGATTTGAATCCAAATTTGTAACCAGTAAATTCTGTGCTCTTTTGACTACCACATGTTGTCCCTCAGAACTAAAACACTAGAAGAAAATTTCTACTTTGGAGCTTCTATTTCTGTTTAATTAAGATCATTACTTTTTCCTGTTAATAATTTATTTATGGTATCTTTTATTTTAGACAAGGAACTAGGCATTGGGAAGATAATGAAGAAAAAACAGAAATATTCCACATCTTCATACAACTTACAAGTGCATGGGAGCCAAGTACCAAGAAAGTTTTTATAATGTGATAAATATTTTAAATGAGAAATTCACGATGCTAAGGGAGACAATGCAGGAGGTCCTAATCTTAGTCTGGATGTGAGAAAATACTCACTTGAGGAAGTAATATTTCAACTGAGACCTAAGAGCTAAGTGGAAGTGGGTTGTGGGGTCTGTGAAAGCTATTGAGGCCGGAAAAACCAGGTGCTTTTGAAAGGATAAAAAGCAAGATAAGGCTAGAGAGGCAGTCGTTAGATCCTGTGGGTCCCTGTTGACTCTGTAAAGGGTGTGGATTTATCCTCCAGTCAATGGGAAGCTGTCAGAGGTTTTTTGGCAGGGGTCTGATTGCTATGTCTGATAAACATATAGAGGAGAAGATAGGAGTGGAGAGAGACCAATCTACCAGACATTGTTAATTACCTCCCCTAGAGCTACTTCTCTACTTATTCCTTGTTAAAGAACCCCAATGTTATTCACACTTCTCTGAGTGGTCAAGTCCTCATGCTCCAGCTCCAAGGAATAAATCCTGACTTGTCTCATCCAATCACGGAGGTCACATTCCCCTACCCAATGACTGTTGGGACATGTGATCTTGGTCTGGCCAATAAAATACTGGCTGCTGGAGTTGAGAGACCAGTTGTGGGAAGCTTTTTCTTATTTTTAAAAATACACCTAAGAAAGTGAAAGGCAATCCCTTTTTTACTTCTGCATGTTATACATTACATGTGATGACCAGAGCTGATGCAGCCATCTTGGGATCATGAAGGCAATGAAACCAAGAGGACAAGTTAACATGCTCAGGCTACAAGAGCAGGAAGATGGAGAAACCTGCATCTAGGAGGATGTCATTACACCAGTTAATTAACCTCCTGTGGAATAACAATCCCTCTGGCTTCTTTTTACGTGAAATAAAAGCTCCTAGTCAGTTTAAACTATTTAGGAAGTCACTGAATTAGCCCAGTAAAAGATGATGGTGGCTCTGATTAAGGTGGTAGCAGTAGAGATGAGGAGGAGACTACAGATTTGATAATTATTAAGTAAAAGTGTCAGGGTTTGGCCATGGTCAGGGTGGGGACAGTGAGGGAGAGGCAAGTGTCAAGCATAACCCCAGCTTACTGGCTTTGTGATTGGGTAAGATAATGGTGCCATCAAAGAAACAGTACAGCAAACCCTAGAAAAGAGGTATATTTTGGGACTTGGAGTAAGGGTATTCGTGCAGCAAATCAATATAAGGTGCCAGTGAAACATTCAGTTGGAACTGTTTAAGAGGTGGATAGGTATCCCATTAGTCTGAGAAACATCCTTGTTGCTTCTGCTATCCAAAGTGGCAACATGGATAACAAGCCATCTCAACTAATGTGGAACCGTGTGTGTTGCTGGAAACAAGGGAAAAGAAGGCTGCAGTGGGAAGTGTTTCTGCCCCTCCTCAGTACTGTTGTTTCAGTCGTCCTTACCCCAATGAGAACTGAACAAAATCATGAAAGAAATTCCATAGGACTCCTTGAAAAGCTTACATCTCAGCACCTAAGGTGAGATGCAACGAGCTGTCTCCTCAAAGCTCTCTTTCAACATCTGATCTGGGCAGAAACCCATCTCCGGGGAACCATAAGTGAGCCTGGGAACAAAGTAGGCTGCCAGAGGGTTCTTCGTAGGGAGCTATGAGACCGGACTGCACATTAATGTTGGCTTACAAAATGTGTCTTTGCAAAGCCACTGAGGCATTGCACAGAGCAGAAGTAAAATTACCTGGCTGGTCTCCAGCACAGCCACACCAGTCTTCTCTCTAAAGCCCTGCCTTGGCACTGGGTAATGTCTGGCCAGCTCTCCTGGCTTTCAGCCAGACACTACACCCCAAGGACAAAGGTGGAAGCGTGTAGAGCTTTTTAATCCCCTCTGCTCCTAGAGAGATCTCTCCTGGGCAGAGCAGGAATCTCTATACCCTACAGGTGCTGGGATGGATTTCCAAGTTACTGTTCCCCTCATTTACTCATTTGCCTCCCCAACTCAGTTAAGAATTTTTACCTGATATAATAATGTAAAGGCACAGGCTTTGGGGTCAGTAGCCCAGAGTCCTAATCCAGAGTAGCTTTAATCCTGAGTAGGCCAGAGTTCTAATCACTAGCCATTAATTACCCTGGCCAAGGCAAAATAACCCTTGGGGCCTCTGTTTTCCATCTGCACAATAGCAACAACTTAATAGGGATGATAATATCTACCTCAAAAGGTGGATGTAAAGAAAGCTTCACACATGAAGAAAGCTGTGGGTCCCTTCATCATCCTGGCTCTACTCAGTTTGCCACTCTAATAGTTTGGGGTGGTTTGGGGGAAGTTATACCAGAGTGGAGCAACCAGGAGAGCCATCAGCTGATATTGCCAGCCATTCCAAGACACATTTATTCTCACCAGAAAATTCAAGTCCAGCACGTGTCCAGGAATGTCCGCTTGGTTTTTCCATCCAGACCTTTTCTTTGCTCCGACCTCAAAAGAAACCTTCTGGCTTTCCTGACCTTCAGCTGGTGCCTTGACCGTACCCTTGGCCTTCTTTTTGAGGTTACATTTCCGAGCCACTAACCAATGTCCTCTACCTGTTGAGAAGATCAGAACAGTGAGGAGCAAACTCTTTCAAAGCCAAACTGAAAAATGGCTTCTCATTATCTCATATGCACCACTGTGCTGCTGTTGGTGACAGGTTTGGAGGGCGGGCGGGAGGAGATGTTTACATATCTATCTCAACCAACCGGCCCCCAAAGCCAGTAAGGATATGGTAGTGCCCCATTTCACAGATGAAAAGCCTAAGACTCAAAGAGGTGAAATAACTTGCCTAATTCTTTCCTCTACACTTTTGCCTCTCAACTCTAGTTGTTCTTTTAAGACCCCATATCAAGTATTTCTTGTTCTGTAAAACTTTTACTGACTCTCCTCAGCAGAGCTGATCATTCTTTCCTGTGCCAGCTAGTTACTACTCCATTTGTCATTTCTTGGGTAAAGTTCAATGCGTGCCGCAAGCTCAACCGGCTCCCTCTTCCCAGACCTTACTCAGGATCCCAACATTATAGGGGACAGACTGCTTCAAAGACTCAGGATAAGAAAATGACAGGATAGCTGTCACTTTTTAAAACCCCCGATAACACAAGCTCACTGCAGAAAGAACTAGAAAATGCATTTAAACAAAAAGAACATCAGGTTTACTAGTAAATGCAACAAAAATCACGACAATATTCTAGAATCTGTTTTCTCCAGCTTTTTTCTTTTTTCTTTCTTTTTTTTACAGCAAGGCATTTACTGGAACCTCATGTTATTTTACTCGTTCATGTATTGTCTTTCTTGCCCACTAGAGCGGCAGCTCCACAGAGCACAGGTTGATTGATTCATGTCAGCGTTCTCAAGGCCTACAATGAGCTTACTACACTGTTGAGTGTTGCTGAATGAACGCTGAGCCACAGCCCCCACCCACAATCATCCATTCAGGCTTTTCCTGAGCATCTATTTTGTGCCGGGAGCTGGGGATACGGAGATGAGTAAGATGGAGGCCCTGACTCAAAGGTGCTCAAAAATAAAAAGGGTGCTGTGGAAGCACAGAGAGGGTAGCTACCAGCCTAAGGGATGAGCTTGATCTAGTAAGTTGAAAGTCAACTAGGTAGAAATGAAAAAACCAGGTAATCCAGGCAGAGGGAAGAGCACAAGTACCCAGAGGTATGACAGATTGGGACCACGCAGAAGATCAGCATAGCTATAGGAACCATGTTGGTGCCTCTGACCACACTGGTTCCCTGTCTGTGCAGCCCATTGGCTCCCGGCCTGGGGGCCTTGCCCTGGCTCACCTGACAATGCTGCCTACACTGCCTCTCTTGGATGCAGCTCCTGCCCTATGCCTGGTGTAGGCCAGTTACCATTTCCACTCTAGGCCCGGCAGTCCAGGGAGTCCATTTCCCAAGGCTGCTCTCATTTGGGGCATGGACCTTTGTCCTATAACCCGATAGCTCTGACTCCTGGAGACTCTAGGCTAAGTTGGTGCCAAAACGTCCAACACAGACAGGAAGGAAGGCCCAGAGTGTGTCAGGAGGTGAACGGGGGAAAAGAGAGATGAGGCTGGGTGGTCAGTAGAGTCAGATCAGAAAAGGTCCTGAGGACAGGAATAAGGAGCTTGGGATATAATGGGGTAGGTTTATAGCAGCAGAGTATCCAGGGGAAAGGTTTTTTTCCCCCTCATAATTTTTCATTTTGAGATAATTTTAGACTTTCAGAAAAGTTGTAAAAATAGTACAGAGTTCTTAGACAGCTTTCATCCAGTTTCCCTAATGCCTTATATAATCATAGTACAATGATTGAAACCAAGAAATGAACACTGCTATAATATTAGTAACTAATCTATAGCCCTTCTTTGAATTTTTCCAGTTTTCTCTCTAATGTCCTCTTTCTGTTCTAGGATCCGATCCAGGATCTCATATTTCATTTGGTTGTCATGTCTTCTTAGTCTCCCCCAATCTGTGACAGTTCTTCAGTCTTTCTTTTTCCCTAAGTGAACCTGACACTTTTGAAGAACACCAGTCAATTACTTTGTGAAATGTCCCTCAATTTGATTTTGTTTGATGCTTTCCCATAATTAGACTAAGGCTTTGCACTTTGGCAAAACTACCACAGAAGTGATGTTGTGCCCTTGTCAGCACATCAAAACACAGGCACATGATGTTAATATGTCATTACTGGTGATGTTAATTTTGATCACACAGGTAAGGTAGTGTTGACCTAATTTCTCTACTGAGAAGTTACTATTTTTCCCTTTGTAATTAGTAAAGATGTCTTGACACTATGCAAATATGTTTCTCATCATACTTTGACCCACTAATTCTAGCATCTGTGATGGTTAATTTTAGTGTCAACCTGGCTAGGGTATGAGAGGGTTTATTAAACACTAATCTAAGTGTTGCTGTAGAGGTATTTTGTAGATGTGGCTAACATCTACAATCAGTTGACTTTAAGTAGAGGAGGCCATACTCAGTGATGTGCATGGGCCTCATCCAATTGGCTGAAAGACGTGAATGGCTAAAACAGAAATTTCCCAAAAGAAAAAGAATTTTGCCTTAAGACGGCAGCGTCAGCTCTTCCCTAAGTGTCCAGCCTGCCTGCCCTATAGATTTCAGACTTGCCAGCCCATCACTTTATAAGTCAATTCCTTGAAATATGTAATGTGTGTATATGTATGTATGCATGTATTTGTATGTCTATATATACATATATGCATGCATGTATATGAAAACCAAACTAGTAATTAAATATTAATTATAATTATAAATAATATGATAATCATAGTATAATTATAAATATAAATAATAATTATGAATCTTTAATTACAGGCTCATGGATATTTACTCAATGGTTTATAACTCAAGTCTGCCTTTACCTATTTTGTTGCTTAGATTGTCCCAGCTTTGGCTACCATGAGCTCCTTCAGGTTGGCTTTCAGGTCCTTTGCCATGCACCCATCGCCTTCCTGAGCACTTCTTTACCTTCTGGCAGGACATGATGTACCAGGCTCAATTTGTATTTTTCCTGCCCCAGGCCTTGTAACAACCTGTTCTCTTAGGAGCGTTGGCTTCTTTTACTGGTGACTAGTATTTAGAAACTGAGATCTATGTGTCAGTACACTCTTCATGGCTGATGTATCATTGTTCTCAGTGGACTAGGAAATATACATACATATACCAACACATGCAGATACACACAACTCTATTTTTCTACCTGTCCATCTGTGTGTGTGAGCGGGGTGGGTATGAAATCATGAGTTCAAACTGAGAGCTCCATGGGAAGGTTTTAAATAGGTAGGTTGCCAGAGAAGGTCTCTATGTGAAAAATGAAATCACTCTAGAGAAGTGGGGAGGACAGACTGGAGGAGATGATGCTTCAAAAAATGCAATGTACAGAGTGACCTGCAAGTCACTTTATCTAGAGTAAACAAAGGGTACTTCTCCATTGCTCTACTCTTTCAAAGCAACAAATCCAATCCAGTGAACCCATACATCTTCGGCAGTGTTCCAACTGCATGGCTCCGCTCAGTGTTGTGAGGAGTCCCTGCTGCAGAAGAGTGTTTAACTAGATTAAAGTTTGAAAAACTACTTAGCAGAGTCAAGTTTAAACCACTTTATTTAGGAACTTGGTGGAATATAATAAATCATCAAATGGGAAATAGAGGAAGACGGCTCACAAAGAGGATGGTCACGAAGGCCTAGAGCAGCTAGACATGTGGGAGACGTGGGAGAAGATCTGGGTTTTGTGGGATACGAAGAGTTTGGACTGGAATGAAGGCTGGAACATTCTGGACAAATAAAAAAAGCTACGTGAAATGATAACACTATGGAATAGGGCATAAAAAAAAGAATGGCGTTGCACAAAGGGTAAGGGGAGGTTAGACTCTGAAGACAGAACAGCAATGAGAAGTCACTGAACAGAAGGGAACACAATGGTTAGACGTGCACTTTAGAAGGCTTCCGAGGTTGCTGTGGGAAGATGGACTAGAAGGGATCGGACTGGGTAGGGCAGGGAACAGCAGTCAAGTAGATGGAAAAAAAGAAATGGATGTGAGAGACATTCTAAAGCAGGAGCTGGCCGTGAGGCAAAGATACCAACTTAAGTCACCTCACCTTCCTCTGATATCCGTAGCAGATTTTTGGCTGGAAAGCAGTTGTTCAGGTAAGGCTTCCCGTCATCCAGCTTATAGATTCCTGAGGAGGCCATCTCCCTGAGAGCCAAGCAAAGAAAAAGAGGAAGTAGAAGAGTGAGAAGGTACAGCATTGCTCTCTCATCCCAACACGGCTCATGAGGCCCCCCAGGACCACCACAGAAAACACATGCCTTACCTCTGAGGGCCTAGAGGTCCACCGCCCTGCTTTAGAAATGGGCCGGCCCTTACATGGAGAGTCAAGGCCTTGGGTTTTTGGGTTCAAACTAATCCTAACCCAGTGGAACACTAGCAAGAGCATCGCCTTCAGGCTCGCGCAGACCTGCTTTGAATACTGGCTCTGATTTTCCTTGCTCCATGAATGGGAAAGTTATTCTATCCCTCTAAGCCTGTTCCTCACCTGTAAAATGTGGGTAATAACACCTACCTTAATAAGCAGCTAAAAGGATCAAGTTAGAATGGTGGTGCCTTGTACATAGTAAATGCTCACTCAGAATGTTTTTTGTTTTAACAGAGTTCAGAGAAGAGGAGGCTCACATTTTACGTGAGATGATAGGCAAATAATGATATTTGAACTGCATAAGTAGGATTTAAGGGATGAACTGAGTTTGCTGATAGAAAGATAAATATTCTAAACAGAATGGCCACAGGACTGAGGACATGGTGGTAGGCATGTCGGGCGCAGTGAACAAACCACCCGACCTAGGAAGGGGATGTATGTCTGGGAGCCTTGGACCATAAGGCTAGAAAGGAGGGATTGTGTCTGCTCCTGAAGGGCCTTCAGTGCCAGGCTAGGAGCTCAGGTTTCACCTTGTAAGTTTATCTAGAGCCATGGATGATTTCTGAGCTGGGGAGAACCATGACCCAAGCAGTGCTTTAGAAAGACAAATCTGATAAAAATAATGCTATGTGAAATGGTATTACATTAACTGGTCATGGAGTCACAACAATTCCAGCCCAGAAATACTGTTCAATGTACTTTTCTCTGTCTCTCACTGCTTTCATTAAATCTTTCATTGCCCCCACTTCCACCCCAGCCCCAGCCTCCAGAATATTGCAACAGTCTTCTGACTGGATTCCCACTGAGCAGGAAGGCCAAATATTTGAGCCTAGTCTTGAAGGCTCCTGGAGGCCTAATTTTTAACCCTACCAGCTCTAGTCTGCCGTACCCATCAGGCTCACAGAATCATTTTCTATCCCTAAAATATACCATTCACGTTCAGTTTTGCCTGCCTTTGTTCCTAGTGTTCCTTTGGCCTAAAACAGCCTTTCCATCTCGTTCATCTGGTTACTTTCATCCTTTAAGATTCAGCTCAAATACCACTTCCTTTAGGAATAAATCACTAATAGGAGAGATAAATTTCTTAAACCTTAAGCTCTTAGATTTGAGATTTTTCATTTAAGGGATCCAGCCATTCCCAAATCTGCTTCAGACAACCTGAGGTAGCAGAGACTTGGGAACCTACAAGACCAGCGGAAGGGAAGCCATGAGTGGAATGTGGGACCTGAGACAGAGGATCTGGGAACAGATTCAGTAAAAGTAAGGAGCAGAGTGGGGAGCTGGGGTCTGGTGTCCTGAGGAAATGTTTCCTGGAGGCGACAGATATGCAAAGTAGAATGTGTAGTAGGAAGAACAATTTCAGAGATTGGAGGCCTAAATCTGAGTCTAGTTTCTACCATTAAGCTGAGTGACCTTGAGCAAATCAGTTCATCTCTTTGTATCTCAGCTGTCTCATATATAAAATGATAAAAACCTGTGCCTCAGAGCACTGTAAAAATTACATAAGGGAAAAATAGGAAAAAAGCTTCTTTTTAGACCCAGTCCAGATGCCATCTCTTCCACAAAGCCTTCACTGAACCTTCCTGTGGGATATAATTGCTGCTGTGGCTAAACCCTGGAGTACCTCTTCTGCATCTCTTTCATGAATGGAACCTTTCTACCTCATACAATTACTATCAATAACAACCTTGAAGGGGGCCACTTCAGTGGTCTATGAACCTCTATGTCTGGACACATGTTCAATTCACTGTCTCTCTTCCACCCTTGGAATGCTCATAGGAAACACCCCAAAAACATGTGTGAGCCAAATGAAGGTAAAAATAATGACATTCCCAGGATCCAAGAGTTTTTATATACATATTCCTGAGCTCCCTAATTACACTCTAAGCTCCTCTAGAGGAAGGAGAGCATCTATGGTGTTCATCTATTTATTCCCAGCACCTAACACAGCAGTGGCACAGAATAGATACCACAATAATTTGCGGAATAAATGAATGTGTTGAGCCCTGGCTGGTGTGGCTCAGTGGACTGAGCACCAGCCTATGAACCAAAGGATCACTGGTTCAGTTCCTCATCAGGGCGCATGCCTGGGTTGCAGGCCAGGTCCTGGATTGGAGACATGCAAGAGGCAACCACACATTGATGTTTCTCTCCCTCTATTTAAAAAAAAAAAAGAAAGAAAGAAAGAAAGAAAAGAGTGACGTTATCTTCTTCGGTCCAACACAGGGCACTCTGAATTTCCTGATCCTTGAACATTCTGAAAAGGACTGGATGTCTCTCCTATGTGTTCCCATAACAACCCATACTTCTAGTGTAGCACTTAATTCTGTTTGCTTCCCTTTCCAATTTCCCACTTGCTGTGGGGTCTGTGATACCTTATTTACCTATGTAATCCCAGAGCCTAGCATAGAGCCTAGAACTTACTAAAAACGTGTTGGGAAAATGAATGGATAGATGGATGAGTGGGGAAAGACCAACAGTCATTCAGTCAATCTGTCTTTTAGGAAATCTGTCTTGTGACCAACTATATCTGTCTGCAAAATAGGTGAATGAATGAATGAATGAATGGGCAAATAGCTGACTGGGGAATGTTAGAGATGATGACTGTTGGAGAAGGCTCAAGTAACTTACAGAATATAGGAATCTTGCTTCTAGTCTGTATACTTACTTGACCTTTGATCTTGGGAAAAGTCCCTTGACGTCCTTTTTTTTTTGTTTCTTCACCTGTAAAATAGATATTACACTCTTTCTTAGTCTGCCATTCAGAGCTCTTGACCTTTCTCATTAATTATATTCTATTATTACCCTTCTGCTCCAAAATATATCTCACCTAGAGCCTAGAAAAATACCACAGGACTAAAAAGCTAAGAAGTAGATTGATATAGCTGTAGAGATAGAGAAAGAGGCATAGATGGGAAGGCGGAAGAGGAGAATAATTTTATGACAGTGGGATGGGTCCAGAGTGCTTAAATAAGATGTACAAATCGCAAATCAGTAAGGAAAGGATCAACTTATACGATCATTTACACAAAATAAGATTTATGCACAGTAATAGTAATAAAGACAACATTGAAAGCTACAATACAACCCGGGAAAAAGATATTTGCTATGCATATAATGCAAAGAATAAAACAGACTCAGCTCATGGGGGACATACAGACCTGCACATAACTAATCATAGAAACTCACAGATCATCAATAAGAGAAGCAAGAAGTTCATCTGGCACTAGTCAGGCTGCTATGTCAAAATTAAGCATAACTGGCAAAAACTCAGAGACTTTGACAACAGGACCCACAAAAGATTTAAGGGCCGGATCTTGAGGCCCAGCATTGGTTATGGGAGCAACAAGAAAACAAAGCACATGCTTCCCAGTGGCTATTGGAAGTCACTGGTCCACAACGTCAAGAAGCTTGTAGTGCTTCTGATGTTCAACAAATCTTACTGTGCAGACTCAAAACAACAAAGCCATTGTGGGAAGAGCAGCCCAGGAGCCCATCAGAGTCACCAATCTCAAAGCCAGGCTGCTCGACGAAGAAAATGAATAGAAGACAGCTTATGTGCACATAGTATTTGGGTTAATAAAACCATAAAATTCTGCCATCTGGCATTTCAAAAAATACATTAAAAATAAAAAAGAATGAAATTTTGCCATTTGCGACAACATGGATGGATCTAGAAGATACTATGCTAAGTAAAGTAAGTCACAGAAAGATACAGTATTTCACTTATAGGTGTAACCTAAAAAATAAAACAAACAAAACAAAAACAAACTCATAGAAATAGAGATCAAACTGATGGCTGCCAGAGGGAAAGGAGAAAGGGGGTAGATGAAAAGGTAAAGGGAAATATAGTCAATAATATTGTGATAAGTTTGCACAGTGACAGATGATTCGTAGACTTAGTGTGGCGATCACACTGAAAGGTATGTAAATGTCGAATCACTATATTATACGCCGGAAACGAATATTATATTACATACCAACCATACGTACATAAAAAATAAATAAATGCACAGAGAACACTGCCTGGCAGACAGTAGTCACTCAGTGAATGAGTTTTCCATAACACGAAAACATTACTAACGGCTAAGATGGCAGTCACCAGAGAGAATAACTGCTAAAGGCTGGAACAGAGCTAGAAAAGGGTGAAGAACCAGTTCCTGATGGCCCTTTGGAAATTCTAAGTTTGGGGCGGAGGATACTCTAATTCCTCACACAAACCAAGTTTCCAGCCGCACCTGCCTGCGGCGTCGCTTCCGCCTCCGAGGCGTTCGCGGGGGCGACGTCCCGGTCTGGCGGGATGCACGCCTGCGAGGCTCACGGGGATCCCGGAGCCGATCCACAGTGGCGCCTGCCAATACCTTCTCCACCCCTTAGTAACCGCGACGCGGCCGCTAGCCGTGTGGATAGCAACCGGCGGCCGGAGCTTCTGACTACTACAAATCCCGGCAAGCCCCGCGGCCACTCCTGCCGGCAACCTCGCGTCAGCCAGGACTCCGCGCGGCACGTCACGGCGTGGTCTTCAGCCAATCGGCTTCGGACAAGTAGGAGTGGGAGGGAGACGCAGAGGCAGACAAGATGGCGGCGGCGGCAGCTGCACAGGGCGGGAGAAGTGGTGGCGGAGGCAGTAGTGGGTCTGGCAGTGGCCCAAGCTGCGGGACAGGTAGTGGCCGCAGCGGCTTGTTGGATAAGGTGAGGAGCCAGTTCTTGGGGACAGTCGAGGCCAGCGGAGGCCCGAGAGGCAGCGATCCAACCTTTCCATCCCCGCCCCCCTTTTCTTCATAGGTTTCTTAAGGCAGTACTGATCTGGCCCACCATGGGAAACTTAACGGGCGCTTGCAGTCTGCTCTCTCCGCACCTCAGCCCCGTCTCTTTCCTCTTTAGGTCTTATTCTCGGAAGTGTTCCTGGCCCTTCCTGCTGGTCACCACAGCTTCTTGCGATAACTTGATTATTCCCACATTTTCATCCGGCCATCGCTTTCCTCGGTGGTGCTGGGGTACGGTTGAATGTGCACCTTTTACCGAAGGGGAACACTGAAGCCTGAAGGAATGAAAGCAGATGCTGGAAGTCAGTAGCCCCCAAACTCCCCAGCACTTTTGCGTGGCGCTACAGATTCCAAACTGTTCCTCAGCCTTTTTCTTTTCGAAGTTTCTAGGCGTTTTATCACGATATTCCGAATACTCTTGAGTATTGATTTCCCCTGTTGGGCTGACAGGAAGCCTTCAAGATTTTTTTTTCTCCTGTCATCTTCACTCTCCCCTGCAGTCCGGCTCATTTCCCCCTGCTTTCTGCCTCCAAGTGTCCTAGGTGAATTGACTTCACGAGTTTGCTGATTGTTCCTGCTTGCCTCTTTCCCTCTCCTCCTATGTATATGTGTATGTGTATACACACACACACATTTTAAATTGCGGCCCTAGCAACAAGGGTTTAAAAGAAAAGAAAAAAGGAAACCTCTATTCCTGGGTTGGCCCTTCTTGTCCTTGCATAGTATCTTGGAAGAAACGTTTACATAGAGATCTGCGCCCTAGCACTGGTTCTGCCTCTAATTACCTGAGTGATCACGAAATATGTTTGTTGTCTATATCTTGTTTCCTCATCTGTGTAGCATCACCGTGCCCCAAGGTCCCTTCCAGTTCTTTCATTGTAGGGCCCTGGGCCAGTTTGATGAAAAATGTTAAGCATACTGTCTTTAATATAGTAAATAATCAGGAGTTTTCACTTTAATCGAAAACAGCTTTCAGACTTCGCTATGCCTAACACAGGGTATGTGCTTAAGAAATGAACATGTGGTCACGTTGAGGAGTCCTAATTTTCTTGCTTCACTTTTTGGGTGTCATTGGTTTTGAATGACATGGTTCTCACACTTTCAACTCTCTTTAAGGGACAGGAATGTGTTCTGGGGGTAGGAATGGTAAATTGTTCCAAGACATGTGAGAGTGTTGGGAATTGATCACCATTTTCATACACAAATCCTATCTTCCTCCTGGGTGAGCACCTCCCAGCCTGTGCTTATCCTATCCCGTTAACTGCTTTTATTCTTCCCATTTTTGGCTTATCACCCTCAAACGTTAAGCATGCATTTTGCCAAGGTAGTGATTACTGAAAAGTGTATGGCATCATTGTGTTATTGAACACAATGATCCCCTGGATTTGGGGATCCTAAGATTTGAGTGTTGAAGTAGCTCTGCTACTTTCAAACTGTGAAGACTTAGTTAACCTCATTTAGCTTCCCTTTCTTCGTCTGAAATGTTACGGCTTTGGGGAGAATCAAATGAAATGACATGCACTAATGATCTCTGTAACTTACAGTGTCTTACTTAATTCAAATGTGCAATGACAGAGGAATAAATCAGGAATCCTACTGTCAGAAAGTACTCAGTGCTCCTGAGTGTAGGACATGGGGTACCTAGAATGTTAAACGTAGAAGTATTTGGTGTGTTCAGTTGTGTGTTTTTTACAGAAGATCAAATGAGAGAGAAAATTAACCCTGAGATATAATTGATAAGGGGCTAAGGTCCTCAGGGAACGACTTCTTGTCTGAGAGTGGAGCTGGGACCTTTGGGGGGGAGAGAGGGAAGTCATACACTAGTTAATGTCCTTTAGCAAATATACACAGATGGTGCCTGATGTTTCTCTAGGAAACCTATAGTGACAAGATTGAAGAGAGGGCATGGATTTCTTGAAGTAGGAGTAGGAAACTGTTGAAGGGTTTTGAAAATTATTCAGATAGTTTGGAGGGGTAAAAACTAAAAGCCTTCTAATAACGCCTTATACCATATTAGTGTGTAGGGTTTAATGCAAAAAGAAAGACAAGTTTGAGTTCTAGTGCAGTGTGTTAAAAGCTATATGGTCTTGGATAGTCTGCTTAGTATTACTGAACTCAGCTTTTCTTAAGTAAATATCATGGATGGTCATATACGTATTGCAGGCTCGTTGTAAATATTAAGTTGTATAATATTGGTAAATGTTGTTGGTAAAGGGCTATAAAAATAGAATGACAAGGTGATGAGAACTTCTAACTTGAATAGCAGAAATAGATAAAAAGGCTTCACAAAAAAGCACTTGACAGAATTAACCAAGAAGTAAGATAGAAATAAGTCAAGAGCTGTTTAGGTACCTTCTCTTAGAAAATTTTATTTCTGCCTTACATTGAGTTGTTCCCCCTCTGAATTCTCTAGCATTTGTGGCACATGGGAATTAAGCTGTCACTTAATGTGACATACTGTTTTCTTATACCAATTTGTATTTGTCCTGTTTCCCATGAGAGGTTCTGGAATAAGTACTTGCAGTATTTTATTAAGTGGAGAAAAACTCAGTCTTCAGGAACAGCCTTAGAAGTTGGTGCTTCTAGTTCTGTGAAAACTGAGGCTACTGCGGAAGGGAATATGGGGGGAAAATGTTATTCTCAGTGGACCAGGATCTGAATGAATTGAGAAGCTTTCTCTCTGTGGGAATGAAAGGCTGTTACTTTACAGGTCTTTAATTTGATTTGTCTAGATTTTTTGGAGCGTTTTTATTTTATTTCCTGCAGCTGTATTCACTAGCCATAAACAAATGTAATAAAGAATGCAAGTGTGCTTATAGCTTTCCTTAAGTGGATGTGAATTTCTGTTCTTATGAAACTGACTTTAAGAACAAAGCAATTCTAGTTTCCTGATCTTAAAAATAGGTATGCAAATATATTCTTCTGAATTTCATCACAGAA